GCTTCTCTATACATGTAGTCGCCCATGTCCCGCAGCAATACGTGGCAGAATGCGACGTTGGCGGCCGAGCCAAGTGCTCGATACCTCGGCAAGGAGTGGCTCATGCAGCAAATGTACCACAACACGCGCCAGGCGTTGGCGTTGCTTCCTGCTATGACCTGTGACGACGAATTTTTCCAATTTGACTTGCAAGTGTCAGACCAACACGACGATCTGTTCATGGAGCGGATACAGTGCATATTTCCAGGAACGCTGGCGTCCTTTCGACGATTCGTCAAATCCAATCGTATGCGTGACATGCTCTTCAAGGGCCCCCAAGACGCAAGTGACACTGTTTATGTTTCGTGTCGCACTGACTTTGGTTTATCAGGTGATCGAAGAGCGCACAGCTAACACGCGACTGTTTCACTCAATTACGACCGGTGGCGCGTTCGTGAACTCACTCCAAGGGCACTTCTTCGAAGCAGACCGGTTCATCATGGTCATGCGGCAAGTCGACGATGACGAAATGCATGCGTGCGGCCCGATGCTCAGGCAGCGGCATTACCGGTCGTGGTGAGTGAATGAGTAGTCTCGAGAGTTTGTGATTCCGTGGGTGGACGTGTAGGATGGAGGTGCGGCAGGTGTCGCCCACCCATATTTTAATGCGCTATGTCAGTCATTTGTCGCACGTATTTCGAGCCCACGACGGGTTTCTGAGTATGGCCGAGCTCGCGGTGTTGGAGGGCATCGATGTGACGGGCATTGACGACGACGACAAGGATGCCTACGTGCGGCGCGAATTCGTCCGACGGGGAAATGACGATTTAGTGCCTTGGCGGCAATACCTCACGGGCTTGTTGCAGGCGTCGTTGCAACAAGACACCACACACATATAGACAATCGTGATATCCCATGGTACACTGTAGCGTGAACGAGCTTTGTTTAACTAACTAGCCTAGATCCTTGACATCATCCAATGCGTTAACGATGTGACGGGTCTGTAATTTGCTGATTTTGAGCTCCATTCACAGTCAATCGACCATATCGATATTGTGCATTTCACCCAAATTTGGAGTTGACTGATTTCGCCAAATAGCTTTCGAATTTATTTGATCATATTAAGCTTGTACACACTATACTATACTACGATTAGTATACATGTGGTTTTGCAGAAATTCGACATGACGTGATTTGATTGGCTCAGGCGGTTCTTTACTGTTAATCGATTCTCCTAAGACATTCGATTCGAATAGATAAGGGAAGTCGGCAAAATAGATCCGTAACTTCGGGAAAAGGATTGGCTCTGAGGATTGGGCATGGACGTCTTTTCGGGGAGCTTGGATGGCCTACAATGGAGTGTGTTGGACCTTTCGGGGACCGGCATGGGCCGTTGGTTCGATTTGACAATATCTGGCGAAGTTCAAATTATCTCGACGTCTCTCATATATTTTGTCCGAAAATGTTTCCTATTAATAGTGTACAGATTGTACGAGTGCAATGTACGGTACAATATTGTAACTAGTACATTGCAATATTGTAACTAGTACATTGTACGACTGTAGGCGTATCCGGATCGTTTTCATTCTTGGCGGGAGCACAAAACGATGGCAGCGGCGTTGGTGGAATACATCCATGAGGCGCTTGACAGGAATGAAGCACCGCACTTAGTGCGCATCTGCCGCTCCACGGGATGCTCCCTACAGGAAGGCCAGGATGCCATGACACAGATACTTACTCAAGAGAAGGACGTGCAGTCCGTCCATGTGGTCGTCTCGACAGTCATCAACCCCGAAACCAACACAATCGCGGGAAAAACCATCTCGTTGGTGCGTGGGGGCGATCCAGACGACGAAACGGGCCTGTATGCTGTATATCGCTCGACGGAATCGTCCTCTGGAAGTGTGGATGATGCCTTGAAGAACATCATGTGGTTTCCCCGCCTAGACGAAGGCCTCGGGGGCATCATCGCGTCGGACATCGTGTGTGACGCAGCATCGTCTGGTGCTCGCAACCTCGTGCTGAAAGCAGCAGAGTCGGCGTCGGTCTTCTCCAACTTCAAATCCACCGGCACCACAAAGAGCACACCGTTCACTCGGCCGTCCTCAAGCTCAGCATCATCCAAGGCCCCGACGAAGAAGCAATCGACACCGTTTTTTGGTGGCGCCGCCGCCAAGGCCGAACCCGTGACCAAAGCACGTCCTCCTCCTCCGAAAAGCAAGTCCATTGTCGTCGACGACAGTGACGACGACAGCGACGACGATGAGACCCCTCGATTTGTCAAGAAAGCGTCGCACCACAAACGCCTTCGAGTGTGCGACGACAGCGACGACGACGACGAGGAGGCCGAGTTTATGCCCACGTCCAAGCCAGTCCAGCAGGTGCTGCCGCCACCCGTGAGCCCCCCCACGGATTCCAAGCCGGTCACAACCAGCTTAGAAACGGTGTCGCATCTAGCACCACCAGCGCCCGTACTGTCGTCGCAGCCAAACGAGGTGGCCAATAAGGACAAACCAATCCATCACCCCCCGCCCCATAAGCGGCAAAAAGCAGTCTCCACGACCCGCATCAACGAGCAAGGGTACATGGTGACCGAGACCACGTACGAAGACGTGGAGGACGACGACGACCTGCCACCGCCGCCGCCGCAAGCCAAGCCATCGAGTGGAAAACTGCCGGCGCCCCCGCCCAAAAAGAAACGCGTGGTCAAAGCCTCCGGGTCGGCGAAACAGAGCAACCTCATGGACTTTTTCGGAAAAAAATAAGCAAATCTTGACGTTTCAACATGGATGCATTCATCGTTTGGCATATTATTCACCGGCATGCCCACCATCACCACCAGTGTGTACACAGCGTACTGCAAGAAACCAATGCTAAGCAATCGAATTCTAATTACATAAGCATTCGGCATGGCTGCACATGGACCCAGTAACTGTCAGATCACTTCATCATATACTCTGTAAATCAAGTCAACAAGCCGTGGGCCCTACAGCTTTGCGAAGGTAGCCGTGTGAGAGTTGGTACTTTGTGAGCTGTGCTGGTGGTCCGACTGGACAGGCGTCGATTCGCATAAAACTAGACGTGTCCAAGCAATTCTCGTGAAGTGCCACAGTTGTAACCACGAGCAAAAACACCCACCACACAAGACATTTTCGGTGACCACCAGTAAAATGGCCACAAGTTTTCATCCTATTCCCGTCATCTATGTTGCGTATTTTGCTTTACCAAGTCATGTGCAAGGCCAGCAAGTCCGAATCGACCTGGCAGCCTACAGAAAGTCCTTTCAAAGGAGAGCAAAACAATACGACGACTTGCGTGGTTCATTGCAAAATGGCAGCACAATCTATAACTATTGGGAAGCCTTCTCCAGCACAAACAGCCGGAATGAACGCACCGACTGCTTGGTGGAGCCCGAGATGGCCTGGTTCACGACGATGCGGAGGCCCGCGGCGGCGGCAGTGCGTTCAAAGTCGTCTTCGTACGTGACGTTGCCAAAGTCAACAGTCGTGAGGAACTTGAGCAGCGGCTTGCCGACTTCCATGAGCCACGACTTTTGGGTTTGGATGGTTTGCGTCACGTAGACGCGGCCGGTGGGCGTCAAGAGACTGGCCGTGTGGCGGAGGGCTTCTACGGGGTCCGGCATGATCATGAGCGACGCACTGAAGTACACGGCATCGTATGGCGTGGGCGACGTGTAGTCGTAGATGGAAGCGTGGTGGACATGGATGGAATCGGCGAGACCGTGGGCAATCACGTTGTTCTTGCAGTCGACGATGTAGTCCTTGTCGTAATCCACACCGTCCACCACGAGGTTCTTCGATTCGACTAACGCCTTGTTGTGGAGGAGCGCCATGCCAGTGCCAATGCCCACGTCAAGCATTCGGCTCTTTGGGGCCAGGAGGTCCAGGACTTCGCGGTACCACCCCGTGGAGAGACCCACAAAGACAAAGTCGTACAACTTGCCACGTACTACCTTGATTCCATTATACAGGAGCACCGCACCAACCGCCACGGCGCCGACAGTGGTCAGAGGAATCCCAGCAACCTTACTCATTGGAGTCGGTCGACGAATTCAGAATGAGCTTTGAAGGCGAAGTGCTGCGGATATGCAATTGGATTGGTCAAAACTGAACTTAATTAAACACTTGCACGAATCAAAAACGATTCTAAAACTCCAAGGAGCCAATCAAACACTGCAACAGGAATTGACGTTCACGAGTAGAGTTCTTTTCGCCTATAGTCAATGGATTGTGGAACACCGAAACTTGCTGCACTGTCTAACTTCATGTTAACGTCATGTTAGTGAGATTACTCTTCAAGTTCCGATATACTAACGTACTACTAGTAGTATACTACCAAGTTGCTTGTAGGTATCACAAGGCTGAGACAGTACAACGCAGTTTAACAGTGTAAGTCGATTTCTCCAACACAATCAAGCGGTACGATTGCACGGCATCAAGGGAGCTTCCAGAGATGGCTTTGTTCAGCAGCACCTTCAATCCAGCGTCCGCGATCGCACGCAGCAGCTGATTTTCGTACGTGACACTTCCAAAATCGATGGTCGTGACAAACTTGAGCAACGGTTTGGCCACTTCGGTGGCCCATGACTTCTTGGTCTGGATGGTTTGCGTGACGTAAATTCGGCCGTCGGGCGAGAGGAGACTCGCTGTATGGCTCAACGCCTTCACGGGATCCGGCATAATCATCAGCGAGCCGCTAAAGTACACGGCATCGTACTTGAACTCGGACGTGTAGTCGTACACCGACGCATGGACGACCTGCACCGACGAGTCCATGTTGTGACGGGTCACGTTCTTCTTGCAGTCGATGATGTAGTCCTTGTCGTAGTCCACGCCGTCGACGATGATGCCCTTCGACTCCACCAAAGCCTTGTTGTGAATGAGAGCCATGCCAGTGCCAATACCCACGTCGAGGACTCGACTCTTGGGCGCAAGAAGGTCGAGGACTTCGCGGTACCATTCCGTTGTCATCTTTACGATGACAAAGTCGTACACCTTCCCGCGAACGAGCTTCACACCGGCATAAGCGGCGACAAGGCCAACGGCGACGGCGCCAACGGTCCCCAGCGAATTGCTCATGGTGGTGAATTGACAGCCGAATATCCGGATCCGGAAATAACGAATAGTTTTAAAATGGTTTTAGGACAAAAGATTGTGCCATACGCATATTTAAAATTGGTTTAGAATCCAATGTTGTAAATGTGGACTTCACTTGTTATCATGAACGTTGCTCGCGGCGCCAACCAGCGACGGTTCATCAGCCAGCAGGCTATGACGCTGCGTGAATCCGTCAGGTATGTAGCTGCTTCAAGAAGCAGCACCTGTTGGCCTCTTACGTGGATATGGACATGTAGGAAGCTGGACTACGACCACTTCCTCTGTGGGCTGCTGCTTCCTACTCCGTCGCGCGATGCCTTCTATGCCATTGTACGTCTGCGCCTCCGCACATCCTTGTCAGCCATACATGTCGCTTATGCTGCACATTCTTGTAGCGTGCATTCAACATTGAAATCGCTCGCATCAAAGATTCCTCTCGCACGAATCCGGGTGCCGGAAAGCTGCGCATCCAGTGGTGGCGCCAGCGTCTTAACGACCTTTTCGACAAACGCAACGCCGCTTCGGCTCCCACGGACCATGTGGTTCTAGCAGAGCTGCATACCGCCATTCACAAACACCAACTCACCCAGCGGTGGTTTGATCGCATCTTGGAAGCGCGGGTACGTCAGCACCCATCGTGCCACGTGGTTCCATGTCATCTCCTCTAGGAAATGGACTTAGAAGTTGACAACCCGACCTCTATGCGAGACCTGGACATGTACGCCGAAAAGACGGCCGCGTCCATGCTCCACCTCACGCTGGAATGCCTCGATATCCGCAACGACGCCGCCGACGTCGCCGCGCGGTCAGCCCTCTCCTACCTCCCATTTTGAACGTTCTCTCAATGCCAAGTAGACATGCGGGCACGGCCATTGGCATCACGACGCTCTTGCGCGGCACCACGTTCCACTCGAGTCAGAAATGTGTTTATTTGCCCAATGATGTATTGGCCAAAGTACGTTCCCATCATGTTCAAACGTTGAGTTTGCAGTCGATCCACACAGTCTTCTTGTGAATGACAGTTCGGTTCGCCTAAATTATCTCCTATTGTTTCACCGAAAGCTGTGTAGCACCAAGCCACTGTAGACGACGTCCTGGTCGCCGCTGGAGCCCCCGAGGATGCCACCGATGACGTTATCGCCAAGATTACGCCGGCGACGTTTGACGTGGCCTGCCATGCCCTTGACCACATGCGACAGGCGCAGGCCATGCAGTCCCAGCTTCCCCGCGCCGCCATCCCTGCGTTTTATACAACAGTACGTAAACGTTGTGTACCTAGTCCTCACACTATAATTAGGTATAACACTAATTTGATGTCACAGGTGTCGTCGCAACTCTTCCTCGCCCGGTTGGAAACGTATCAGTTCAAGTTGGTGCATCCTGAATTGCACGAGTCGCGGCCGCAAGCGCTGCAGTGGTCGCTGTTCAAGCACTCGTTGTTTCGGTCGTTTTAACAATTGACGACCCAAAACAGGTCGCCCCTCGACAACCCAATCGACGGATAGTTGCATTGTTACCATTAGTTGGGGTCAGTCGTACTAACATTTAAAGACTATCATCTATCCAATGGTTATAGAGTCGCGTGTGGTTGAACAATGGTCGTTAACATTTGACGACACCACACTATACAACACTCATCCCTGTTGCTTTCGTGCTTTTTTGGCCGAACCATCGACATGTGATGGCGGCGACGCCGACCGCTTGTGCCGGTGGTGGTGGCCGTCCCCGAGAACGCCGTTGGTCGACGAGGTTGAGACGCTGTTCGAGTGCTGCTTTCGCTTCTCCACGGCAGCCAATTGACCTTGCAGTTGTTCTCGCTTCAACTTGACGCGGTTCTCAAACTCAAAGCCGCTCTTGAAGTAATCCAATCGCGACGGCGCGGCGATGTGCAGCAGCTCTTCTTCGATCGCGGATGCCTACGATAACAGGCGGCGTGAATTGTTGGTTGGTTTCACATGAAGAACGAGTCCTTACCGCGTGAAGCAGCTCCTCGTACGTCTTGCATGTGCTCGTGTAGGCGTCTTGGATCTTGGATCGGACGGCCTGTCGCTCTTCGATGGTTAAATACATGCGCCAGTCTGCAGCCGGGACAGTGGTGGACACCGCCACATGAGGCGCAGCAGATGCAGAAGAACTGCCGACGCCAAGGGGACCAGGCGGTCGCATCATACCATTGCCTCCGGGCGTTGGAAGCATGATCGGTACAGACGTAGACACCCGCGTGCTAAATCGGGAGATGAAATATGAGATGCGACAGTTGGCGAAACACGTACGTAAGGGGCTGACGAATATACGCTGACGAAGATGTGACAGCGCGCTGGATGGTGGGAGGCGTCGACGTTATGGAGTTGCTGTTGGAATTGTTTTTGGTTGCCGTGGAGGTGGCAGGGCCGTGTTGAGGGATGTTGTACCTGTCGTGGTGCTGCAGTTGTTGCTGGGGTGGCAGATACGAATGCTGCGAAGGATGAGAAGGATGCGACGATGACGAGGCCACATGTCCATGTGGGTCGTGTCTGTGCGGTGGCAACGCAGAAGGCATGGTAGAGCGGTCTGTGTTGTTGCTTCCATTGGCCAGAGCATTCAGCGAAGCCGCAGCGCTCATGCTCATGTGCGACGATGTGTTGATCTTCAAAGACGAGGTCGACGCAGACGACGACCCACCATTGCTGTTGTTGCTGTTGTTCACGGCGCCGCCCGACAGGTTTCTCTTGAGCGATGGGATCTGGATGTGGTTCTGCATGTGACTCATGTCGTCGTGCCGCGTTTCACTCCTATCTCACAGCCGACAGTTCCCATTCGGATAAACTACCCACATCCGGATTTTGTTAAGATTACTTTCCAACTTACAGTTAGTTACTACTCAGTACGTAGTATATTAACCCTAATGGGCGGGAGCTTTTTCTGCGTGATAGAATCTCTAACCTGGGCCTAAGCCAATAAGTACTCATAAAAGGATGAAAGTACAACTATATATTAGCCTATACATATTCGACATTGGATTAAACAAGAGATGCACCAATCAGAGTCCACGATGTGACGTTTGATTGGGTGATAGATTTTATCACCTGGACTAACTGTAAACGTAATTAGGTTAATTGAGTTTGGATTATCATAAGACAGGCATTCCTCCGCGAGGGCCGATACAAGAACCACATGTTGTGGAACCGCTTCGCCACTTGTAACGCGCCTGCTCAACCAGAGGCGGTGTGTAATCTTCGGTTTTTTACTTCGCTCAACGCTTCATACCACGTGCTTCGACCGATCTTCTTCGAAGTTCGGTCCTCGACTCCCTTGTTATCCGGATTCCCTCAGGGGAGGGACGGATAAATCCTTGCGGAAATAATCCGGGGAAGCCGGGGATTAAGAAATTGATGCTCTACCACTGAGCTATTTTCGCTCCCCCACTAAAAGTGATTAGGGTGCGTTTGGTAACATTTCAAAAGAAATATTCCATTTTCTCGCAAAATGGGATAAACCAAAATGCCATTTTTCAAAATGGAGGCAAAAGGTCCATTTTGTAATATGGCGTTTTGGGTCTCTTCAACGAGTAAATCCCACGTGGCCAAAATAGGGTCAGAGTCGTTTTTGGCGGATTTGAATACGTACTTTTGCAAAGTGGTGGACTTTCGTTCTTGAGATCAATAGATGGCATGTAATGGCGTGATTCACAACTTGATCTGAAAAAAATGGCCCGCTAACGGCTTAGATACAGCGTATCAAAGTTTGAATACAAACTTCAAGTGGAATTGTTGGATTTGGGTTAAAACTCTGCAAGTATGACATGTTTCAATTTTGATCAGATTTGTTGAATTCGGCCCCAAAATGGCGTTTTGGGCCTTACTGTTAATATTGCAATATTTCCAGTTACCAGACGGGGCCATTTCTGATCACTTTACTACTGTAATACCTCTTAACTTAAAGTTATGGGTGATAGGATCTCTCACCTGGACGAAACCGTACTAACGTTATAATCAAGTCTATTCATGTGTATACTCCGAGTAGTATACAGTACTTGACTTGCGTTTGACTTCCCGTCCTATAAGGTTACTACATGGATAACAAAATAGAAAGTGGTGCAGCATATATTGGAGATTCGGTATAAATTTCCGGATCCCGTTCAATCGAGCACCAATTCCCCCCATTGGTCAATCCGATATTACTTATCGCTGGTTGGCTGCAATCCATTTTCTACCGGGAAAGGGAGAAGAGCATAATGGCCGATCAGATGTCTGTGTAACGTTAGCATACGTAGCTGAACTTTGTCCATATGGTGACGAATGAACTGGGCATATCATAACGAACCAAACTTGTTGAAGTTCGACGAACAGTTCCAGTAGGATAACCTGAGACAAATTTGTTCATAATATTTAATATTTTTTAAGTATCAAAGCTGAGCTGGGAACATAAATCTACCCTAAGATAATCCGGTGTAATGTTTAGGATGTCTCAATTGTGTTTAACAGTAAAGTGGCACACACAGCGGGTCGATCTGATATAGTGTACAGATACCGACGGAATAAGTGGCCCGTGGTACTAACCTTTCGTTTTGATTTAAGTATTCTACTTTTCGAAGTAGTTTGTCCCAATACAAATTTGAAGTGCTATTTCGAAGTACCACAGGGCCACATATTCCGTCGTTATCTGTAGTACGTGTTACCATACCACCACATTGATTGGAAAAAACAATGTGGTTCGGATATAAAATATAGAATTTGTTGAGGGTTGGAATGCACAAAAGTTCGGATCAATGTGGTTTTTGTTCCAATCAATGTGGTGTAAGTTTTGTAAATTTATATTTGTAAAAATCGATTTATACAGGTATCTAAATATATTTGTGGTAAAGTGTACTTCGAAGTACTAGTATAATATAATAAATTGCACCGTAAACTTACACTCGTGCAATTACTTTCGGACAGAGGAAGTATTTTTTATCTCCACATTGATTGGAAAAAAAGTCCAACTTGATCGGGTAATGGTGTAGTACACTGTAAGTACTTGCAGTTAAATTCAAATACCAACACTTGCGGAAAAAAGTGCAATGTATTATTATCGTTTTCACCCAAACTTTTATTTGAAGATGAGGTTAGAGCATGAATACGCCTTCGACTTGATGTAGCTGCGGTTAGAGGTATTAAACTCAAGACGAAGAGATTAAAAAAAGAATGAGTCATATACGACAACAGGTTAAAAAGTTAACCTCCCGATATCGCCCAAAAGTACAGTAAGTTACCCAAAAACTATGGGTGTAGGATTACTTGAATTTATCATCTATCTTCGCAACAACGGTTAACGGGATTTTCTCAGTGCATGACTAACGGGATCAAGTCGCTACGCGAAATCGATTTGCAACAGTTGCGAATTCACATTGGAGGCCACTAACGTTATGATCAGGAGTTCGTCGCGCTTTGAACGTTCTCTTCATCCCCGTGGAGTTGCGCGGCCTTTTTCCAGCGTAGCAAAGGTAGGCTTGCTTCTGATTCTCTTGATGGGTTTGGCGCATGGTCAGGGGTTAACTATCGCTAACCCTTGGCAATGCGCCAAACCCCGGAGAATGAAGACTACACTTCGACGTAACTTTTTGTAGGGCACCAAGGTGTCAAGGCTCTTGGTGGGGAACGTTGTAGTATACCAATACGTTTGTTTCGAGTTATTAACGTGCTATTTGATCCGCGAAGTGCCATTCCTAATTCCTGCCAGCACACTAGCGCAGCGGCGTGTTATAGGGGTGTCGTCCATCTTCGTATACACGTATGCTGGTGTTCTGGACGAAGGTTCACGCGAAGGCATGGCATGTGCAGGCAGGAGCAGAAGGTGGATGGATCCAATAAAGCAGGCATCGTTACCGTTATCCATCATTGACGGACAACCTTACGTGATGTTGAGTGATGGCAACTGGGAATAGTTCAAGGACACTTGAGTCTATTTTAAAAGTTGCGTAGGGTAGATTGATAGTACTGCAGTTCCGTCAGCGCAAGTACGAAGTGTCATGCAAGACTACTAAACGAGGTTCGTTTGGAAATGTGGTAGCTTAACCGTGTGGTGGTGTAATCTACGCATTGAACAAGCACACGGTCACGGGGTTGCTAAAGTCGTTCAGGAATGTGTGTTCCAGTCGCCGCTCCAACGCATCAACGCGAGCACTGGGAAGGGTCAACACCTTTCCGTTCAATTGGCCCACAGTCACTTCATATGTCAGCGGGTTGTTGGTTTCTGTCGACGTTATTGGAATCGGCTTCTTGACCTTCGGGCGCTTTGACGGTGCTTTTGTGGTGTGGCGTTTCGATCGCTCCAGCCTTTTCCTTGCGAAATGAGCAGCCCACTCGTCTGTAAGTTCAAACCCATACTCATATTCGCTGCTTTCGTAGCCACCATCGCTGGGAGTCGTCGCAAATTCGGTGTTTGGGTCGTCGTGACTTGGGAACCTTTGTGAGGGTTGTTGAAGCACAGGAGGTACTGCAGCTGGAATATGAGGAGCAGGAGGATACTGATGTGCCAGATCAATGGGAAAGGAGGGAGTCAGCCAGCGCGTAGATTGTTGGGGTAGCTTATCCCATTCTTCGCAGAACGGGAATGGCGGCGGGATCCCGAGGGTTGCATCTGCCTTCATGCTGTTGTTGGCTCGATACAAAACCCAGTATCCGGAGAGCAGTCGAAAATGACCAATCATATTGCTCATACGTGTGGATTGGCGCCAAAAAAATAAAATACTATTTGAAAAATGCCAAAATATGTGGTTTTGCAGTAAAATTTGAACTCATTTGAGACACAAGTAAATTGAGAATATTCAAACATTAAATTATACAGGTTTGAGCTTCCGGATACGCCACGTAGTTTTGAGATGCACCAACCATTGCATTACGAATTCCATCAAGGTGAGCGAGCATGAGCAAGCGTCAACTGGGAGAGATCAACGATGAAAGCATGGGCGAGTCCTCGGACGAGTCGGGTGGCGAAGAAGACATTGTGCTCAAATCCAATGGAGACCAGAAAGAGAATGTGGATGTGGACTTCGTCTTCACCGACCCGTGCGAGCAGAACTTCCACAGCGTCAAACAACTCATCAGCAACAACTTCCTCCCACCCACGGCTCTGGATACGTCCAATTTGGCCGACATCATTGTCAAGCAAGTCAGTATTGGGTCCATGGTGTGTTGCGAAGGCGAGACGGACGTGTTTGGGTTCATCACGGCGCTGAGCCTAAAGACGTATGAGAACACACCGTCCATTCGTCAAATCCACTCCCTTGTGCTCGAAAAGTGCCCCAAGGATTTGAAACCGCGTCTTACTTCGATCTTGTCGTCCAAGACAGTTGGCCTCGTCCTGAATCGGCGCATTATCAACTTGCCGTACCAACTGGTGCCCCATTTGCACAGCGCACTGCAACAAGACATTGACTGGGCGGTCGAAAATTCCATAGATCCGGCGATCAAGGCGTCATTCAACTTTGACTACTTCTTGATCCTCGCCGGCGTGCAAGTCGACATTTCAGCCTTGAAGAAACCAGCTGGAAAGAAGGCAAAGGCCGCGTACGCTGAGCCGACCGTCAAGTCGTTCGACAACTTTGAAGAAGAATTCCTCGAAGCGGTAGTACCTCATCTTCCAGTCATTCGATCTCTGATGCATGTATGTTGTAGGAAGCGGATCTGCACTTTACCATTCCCACGGAGAACGTGCTCAAGGAAGGCTCTGGGTTCAGCACGGAGCTGTCGGTCATGCTCGTGTCGAGGCAAAAGCACCAGGGAACCATCGCCAACATGTCGCTCATGCTCGCAGCGTAATCGTTCGTTTATAATCTTAGCACCCATTTTTACTCCACAGCGTCGTCCATCAACTGTGTCATCCGTCCGAGGGTGTTTCGCAGCCGGAAGAGCTCCTCCTTTTCCGAGGGACTTAGAAATCGACTGCTGCTGTTGTCTTGGTGAGTTTTTGAGTGAGTCACTTCTCTGGACAAGCTGCATACACACCGCCACCACACACTCCAATCAGTCGACGTACATATACACAGTAGTACATCATTCCCATCGTACCCCTTCTTCCACGTCGTGGGTTGAGCTCGACGCGGCGACAGCGGGGCGTCAGGCCAATTCTCGTTCGTGTGTGAGCGTTGTCTTGCATATGGCTTTGTGTCCTGTGGAGGCATTTTCACGCGGGTCAGGAGGCCTTGGGACACGGTTGCTTCTAACTTGGCCACCGAGGATACGGCTCCGTCATGATGAACGCGATGGGAGGAGGCATGAGAGTTCCCCGACTCGCGTGGCATCGAGTCGGCTCCTTTCACGGCGGACGAAGCAACCGCTCTTGCATAGCTCTGACAGACGTGGTTGATAGTACAGCTTGAATGTAAGGCTCGTTGGTTCGTAGTGCAATAGTCTACCTGTGCCCGTTCAGACTCGATGGCCGTGACGAGTTGACGGGTCATCTCCGCCACGTTGCTCCGAAACGAGGCTTCCAGTGCCGCGAGTTGCTTCGCCATGCGCTATGGTTGGTTGTGAGCTCCTGGCGTACAGGTTTTTATACCATTTGAATTTGGAGAACTTTGGCCGCAAGTGCGGCGTCTTCGACTTGTTTCAAGTCCCGAAGATCCTCCAAACTCACTTGGTGATCGCTTTTTTCGGTGAGCTGATGAAGGTCCAGGGGGGCAACTGCCTTCGCACACAGTTTCTTGAGTCGCGTAGTGCACAGTCCTACATCTTGGTCGTCCACGAGACGATCGCATGCCGCATCTTCGTCCTCGGATGATGTCAAGTCTGTATATGTTGCCTTGGGATTCCGACATGTCGTCGTGCTGACTACAACTCTTGGTTGATTGCCCTGAGATGGCAAAACAGATCGACGGCGGCGGTGGGTGCCCAAGAAGATGGCGCGAACTCTGCGTAGCTTTGCGCTCGGGTAGCCCATGGTGCCTTCAAGGCCGAGGAAGTCTTCATCGCTGCTTCCGTAATCGCAGCTCTCTTCCTGCGACTGTCTCATGCGGTCCTTTGTTGCGAAAGGTCACCTACTATCCTCATCCGGAAACCGGATAAAGATCCTGTAGTATCGGAAAAGTGACTTACGGGACAGCATTGAATATTAATACCAACCTTGGATACTATGGTTAATATAATATAATTGTTGAATTAAAAGCGTGGATGACATGTGGATGAAATTTGGATGACATTGGATGAAATTGGATGAAGTTGTGGATGAAACCTAAAGTAGTGACCAAGCCTTACGTTGGCCTTATATTATATTAACCATAGTATCCAAGGTTGGTATTAATATTCAATGCTGTCCCGTAAGTCTTAAGTATTGTGCTTTCGAGTGAAATTTCATTGTGTTGTGGCGTGGTTTCTCGTTGGAATTAAAATCGATTTGATTGGCTAGCTCAGATGAGCTCAAAATTATTAGCCAATCAAAACCTTCTCAATGAAATTCAACCAAACAGATCGATTGTGGATCGGTTTGGTCGGCGCGATTATTCGATTGCTCCCCAAATTTGTATCAAATCGACAATAGTACTATTAATAACGTAAATATATCAACCAAACAATCGACGCATATGCCACGCATGTTATTAAGCTCGACGATACGTGACAGTCCCGGAGGTTCCATCGTTCGCCGTGTACGTGACTACGATGCCATCGGCCCCAAATGCATACGATTCTCGTGACGCGTCGTCCGTGCGCGCTAAATCCAGCGTGTCATCGTGCAATGTGGCCACGACATGCTCTACAAAGTTGTAGTTGAAGTCTGCGTCGAACGGAACCCCGAGGGCGAACGAGATCTTGGTCGTTTTGAGCGAGTAGACAGTTGTTAGCGTGTAGCCACTGGCATAGTGTTCAATGATCAAGTCCGGTTTCTCCTTGGCAAGGAGAGATCGCTTGACCATGCCGAGGCCTTTGGCCTTCAAAAAGTCTTCGTAGCCGTTGGAGGACGCGAACGAATACTTGCCTGCAACCGCAGCATACATGTCGACGGGCAATGGGCCCGCTGGAACGACGTTGGCGACGGACGAAGTGGACGTGGTGCGCGTGAGGAACACGAGTCCTAGGGTCAACGCAATCGTGGCCACCACCGCGAGGCGCGAAAAGCCAGTAACGCGACGTTTGGAGTCAGTGGGCATGGTGATCAACGGGGACATTTCTTGTTGCATCTTCACGGGGTTCATCCGGCGGTATGCTGGTCAACCAAAAAGTGATTTGACCATCCAATGCTTGTTTTGGCTTGGTTGTTGCATGTTTTAAGCGTTTCCACTACCGTAAGCCATGGCTGAACCCACGCCATGTTATTGGCCGGAAGGTTGGACGTGGCCTTCAACTCAGTGTTTGGACCAACGAATTTCGTCCACTGTACACGCACTTGACGGTGTACTGTACGTCAGATTGTAGGCGCTCTGTGGTGCGTATAAAATTGAATTTAAATATTGTTTTCAAAATACCTATTTGTAAAAACTAAAATAAAAAAATTAATACTGTGTAGTCACTAGTAATACTTAGTACTACCGGTAGCACTTGATGGTGTACGTCAGATTGTACAGTAGGCGCTCTGTGGTGCGTACAAATTGAATTTAAATACTATTTTCAAAATACCTATTTGTAAAAACTAAAAGTACTACGTAGTACTAGTAGTACTCGGTACTACCGGTAGCACTTGATGGTGTACTGTAGTACATCAGATTGTACAGTAGGCGTGAGTCCCAGCTCTTTGGTACGTACTACTAGTACTTACTAGTACAAAACTGTAGCGTTATTTCAAAAAGGGTATTTCTCGTTGATTTTCGTAGAATATCGTCGCCATTTCGCCAGTATTTTCACCCTCCGGATACGACGTTGAAGGGTTGAGCTGATTATCCGTACGGTATCCAGCCTACGTGTCAGTAACGATTTCTCTATGACCGCCGCCTTGCCGGTCGCATCTGAGATGGGAAACCGAAAGTCAATCAAGAAGCGCCGCAGAGGAAAGAAAGGTGCGCAGGTCGCCGATGTTCACAAGGTGGCAACAGCAACGAAGGAAGCTGGCCTGTCCAAGCCGCCGACAAACCAGTCACACCACAACGCTGATGCCACTTGGACCGTGTACCTCATCCTAACTGCTGCAGCCGCTGTTGGAGCATGGTTCGATCTTGTCACTCGGGTTGTTGCCGATGATTACACTTCGAGATGGTGCAAGTTCCTCTTTGTCATCCTTGTGTGCATCAATGTCCGCACGCACGTTCAACTTGGAGCCAAGCCCTGGACGATCCGAGCCGTCATGTACATCGCATGTAACTTTGCTGGCGCCACAACGATCTGCATTGCGCGCGCGGAAGTCCCAGCATATTTGCGGAATGCGCAGCCTTGGATCAATGTCATGACCGCGGGGGCGTTGGTAGAAGGCCTCTTGTTCGACGGTGCCTCTAGGAGAGTGCGGAGTATGTGGCTCCGAGCGTTGTGCGTGGTGCCAGTGTCGCTGTGGAAGACCAAAACGCTCGGGAAGCTCATCCACGACTGCTACATCACGTCCGTGCCGCTCCATCAAACGATGCCGATGGTGACCGCCGACATGGCTGCCAGTGGCATCACGATGCTGTTCCTCTCGTACGTCGACCTCTATGGGGCGACCGCGCTGCCCAAGCTAACGCAGCGCCTGAAGGACATTGCGCTGCATGTTGTTGTCGTTGGGTTCATTGCCCTTGTGTGGAAGACAGAAGAAGCGGCTCCATGGCTGCATCCGCATGCCGCGCCAGTCGCGGGTGGACTGGTGCTGCTGTACAACTTGGTCAAGTTTTGCTGGCTCCCGCTTGAATTTGCCCTTGTTCCCAGCCCCAAGCAGATGTAACGATCAATAGCAGATCCATAGTCTTTTTTACAATCTATATAACAATTTATAATATATATATATATATATATATATATATATATATATATGCGACCAAGACGTCTACTTTTTCTTTTTGCCGCCTTTTTTCTTTTTCGTTTTCAACGGCGCGGTCGGCCGTTCGAACGCCGTGATTTGAAACTTGCTCCCTACATAACGTTAGTACAATAGCATGTCAAAAGTCACGGTGAACGGACAAATATATATTTTGATCTAGTATTCACGAAACAAGGAGTATCAACATATATATATATATATACATACATATATATATAATAAAATAAAATATTCACAAACCGGCAATGATATGTTTCATATCGTCTCGATTTTTCACGTGCGCGCGGTCTTGTATCAGTCTACAGTAATCGACAAATAAATCAAAATGTGGTTACATATGGGATGTGAAACCAGCCAACGCACCGGCTTTGGTGGCGCTGGGCTGTGTCGAGGTTCTTCATGGCCACAGATATGCGGGGATGCGCGAGTCCAAAGCCGAGCTTGAATACATGCAGCACACTCCGGAAGAACATGGCGGCCGCGTCCACCTCGCCCATCGCATGGAGGCAGCACGCCAGGTTGTTGAGGGACGTTGCCGTGTCGACGTGCTCTTCCCCAAACAACTGACCGACAAGGGTGAGTCATCCATTGGTTTTGGGGGAGCCAAAAAAGTAGCAAACTTCATACCGATTCTCTTAGCGTGAGGGCCTTGTCAAAGCACTTGAGTGCCACGAGCATGTTGCCGGCGTAGTAACAGACCGACCCGAGGCAGCTCAACGCGAGCGCACGCCCGGGATGGCTCTCTGGGAGGCTCTCGGCGATGGCCAGCGCCTCGGCGTACGTTTGCAGTGCGTCGAGGTCACGCTGTCGGCTGTCGTAGATGTTGCCTCTGGCCAGAGTGAAAAACAGCGACGCGTCCGTGTCCAGCACTCGAAATGGACTATATATATAACAGTTATGGTACGAAGGGACAGCAAAATCATAATAATATTTGACAGCGGGACCTGACGTCCACGAGCTCGTCTTCGGCATCGTGTAGCTGCGCCAATGCCATCTACCGTATTTGTCGTTGATCTGGACCATGAAATACAAAACGCAAATATAATTCTATAATTCAATACAATCTTGAATCAATTATCCAATTCGAATATTTAAATAAATTCTTCAAATTTAATTCCATGGTGCAAAGGTACGACAAATACGGTAGACACTCACACAAGAAAGTAGTACCATGTGCTAATTAATAAAAATATATCAAACTATGGAAAGTATAGATGGGAAAAAATATATATTTGACATATATGACCTCTTCATATATCAAAATGTAGAAAGTCGAGATGGGGAAATAAAATATACTATCAATTGTAAATGACGTCGTAAATATATTTCATATCATAATATTGAAAGTCGAGAGGGGACATACAATATATTTGACAAGTGCTGTAGTACCTCGTATTGGCCCATGTTTTGGTACGCAAACGCGCCTTCGACCTTGTGCACGACGTTGGGGGGAAAGTCTGGGACCGCCAGCACGTCGCGAATGACAATCACGTCAACGGCGGACGACAGACTGGACGTGGGCTTGGTGCTACTACTAGTCGTGGCCTTGGCTTCGCTGGTCACATCCACCACGTCCCCCATCTAATGTATTATGTTGACCCATTTCATCACTTTGAAACATTGCACATATATATAATGGACCAGGTCGTCGGCGCGTCGTTGGAGAACTTTGCGCGTCCGCAGCGACAGCGTGCCCATGTGGGACTGGATATCGGTGAGCATCGCGTCCAAGTTGCTTTGGACCTGCTTCTGCGGCACGTGGGACGCCGACTTGACCGTGGTGCCGTTGGGCAGCACTTGCATCGTGTCGAACATGACTTTGATGCTGTGCTCCAGTCGACAAGTGTCGATTGTGTTGCGGATGGACCCGTGGTTGTCCTCGAGGAGCTTGCCGTGCAGCGTCTGCGCCACGCGGCACAGCGCTTCTACAAACTGTGGCAATACCATGGACGAAGAGGTCGACGAGTCGGAGGAGCTGGTGGCGCTCGTGTGGCTCACGGCAAACGTGGATGTGACGCTTGTCATGATCTACACGAGCGTGATGACGTCGCCATAACGACGAACAAGTACATGTGTAACTGTTCTCGTACAGATGTTGCCGTGTCGGCCGAAATATAGTCTGGGCTGAGAAAGTACCCGACTAAAAAGTCGTAAAAGCCTTCGTCCGTCAAGTCAAGACAACTATTGCTGCTGCTTCTGGTGTTGACATTGCCGGTGGCCACTGACGGCGCCTTGCAATACATGTTGAACGACTAGAGCCCATGCAAGTGAGAACGATTCCGCGTAGATCTCCCGAAAGCGAGGGTTGTTTCCACTGCACCTGTTCAATGACATTGCTATATGCTTCTAGCACGCACAACGGTGCGGGCTTCATGAGCTTGAGACGCAAGGGGTCGTACAGGACGCCGTCGACCACGTCTGCAAACGAGTCGAGTTGTGTTCGTTTCCGAAACGCGTCAATGTCGCCGACCAACCGCGCGACCGTGCGGGGGTTGGCCGTGTACTTGAGCTTGGCTACTTTGGTCAAGGCCGTGCCGTACTCGCGCAAGTTGAGCTGCGGCTTGGCATTCCCTGGCAAAACACACAGAGTACACAACATGCTCGTACGTCATGACGACGGTAGATCGGAAGAGAGAATGTGTACCCTTGACAACGTCAAACACGGCCTTGGCGTCGAGAAGGGTAAACCCGTGGTGCTGTAGAAAGTACAGCGGCTTTAGAAACCCAGCCAAGCTACAGACAGGCACACACGAATATGTGACCGACACATGCCCATGGAATCACGAGGAGACGCGTACTCGATGCCTTCATCGCCGTCCCGCAGGTCGTCGTACAAGGCGCGGATATGGCTGGCTTCGTTCGTCGGGGCCTCCATACAACTCGGGGGGCCCAACTTGCAAACGGAAAATGTAACGGTCGGGTGTAACCGAAACGACAATGTCAAGAAACCTTATATTAACACGTTACTTTCGCCATGAAATCCCGTTGAGCTCTTCGACAATGTACTTGAATTCGCGAAGGTTTGGAATAGTATAATCGCAGTCGTGGTTGACATCGTGGGGGGTTTCTGGCAAATAGCACGTGTACGCTCCAGCGGCCCTACCCAACCAACCCCACACCAGGTTACCGTCACACTGGCATATCCATCAAGCCGCCAAAGAATCGACAGGTCCACTGTACGTACCTGCCCGACGAAATCGCAGCGTGGGAGCTCGAGATCACCTGCACAACAACAACACTGATGAGCACCCTATGTACTCTGTTAGAACACGCAAGCACGTACGATCACATCTTTGGGGGCTAGCTCCAATTTGCTGCAAACGCGAACCATTGGCGCCGGTAGGGGCAACGCGGCGGCGTCGTCCATGACAGCATCCAGGAAATCCACCTGCACATGATTCGTTTAGTAGCTGGCCTTGTTAGGACATGAATGTACGTACTTCGTCCACAAAGAGCTGGAACTCGTCCTGCCGATGAGTTGCCGTGGGCGGAATCACACCTAACGCCAGCCCACGCAACCTAATGTAGCTCTACCACCATTCGCGCATAAGGACCATCCGTGAAGCGAGTTGAGTTGTTTGTATATACATACCAAGAACACATTCGTGTGCTCGTTCACTTTGCGCTTGGGCAGGTCGTTCGTCATGTCGGCAGGGGCAACGTCGTCGTGTTTGGTTGGGGCGACGGGTGCTGGTTCGGGGGATGGCACGGACGAGATTGAGCTGATATCGTCGGAACGAGAGTCGGCCATGACGGCGTTGAGCTTGGCGCGCTGCTTGAGTGCGTTCATTTTCGCCAAGTATTTTGCTCGCACGCTGCTGTCGTCGCTCGCGACGTCTTCCAAAGCCAACGGATCTTTGACCTTCGCGGCGCTTTTCAAAGATGGCTTCCGTTGCATCTCATCCACGAGTTTATCGTGGAGTGCCACGTCGTCGTCGTTGCCGTGCTTGTCTTTCTTGGCGGCATCATCCTCGCCCAGAATCGTGGCCCGCACTACAGTCCACCAACTTATCTTCAATCAGGCTTGTGGCAACAGAGACGTACTGAAGGAAGGTAATCCTGCCAATGTCGTCTGTACACGGCGACCTTGCTCAGTTTCGGATTGTGTCATGCTGTTTAACAACCCGCGGACGTTTGACAAGAGAGAACCGCGCTTTACGCCGCCCAAGGCTTCGTCTGGCTTCGATACATCATGTAGACGCGTTGATCGCGTCGTAGGCGCGGAGGCAACCGTTGACTTGCAAAGAACTTCATAGTCCACCACAACCGCACGGAGCCGCTGGGAGCTCACCGCACGCTTAAGGAATGTCTTGTGGATGCCAGCCATGCTGCCAGACATGGTCCGTCGGTCGTGCTTGGGTACACCACTGCACACCAATACAAATATCCAGCTCAAACATTCACTCCTGCTACGCGTTCATTGGATAGATATATCGAAATTATGCTAAGTTCAACCAATCACCTGTCAATATTCGTAAACACAAAATGCATGCAGGGTTCGTCTCAATAAAGATTTCGAAGGGAGAAATGTACAAGTCCAAAGGCGCACCTGACGAGAGGACCCCGGTGGTCACGGCCGTGCCGCTCGCAACACCTGTCGGGGGATCTTACGGCACCCTTCCTGGCTATGATGCCGTCCATGAAGAGCGCAAGCAAGACTGTTTCTGGTTTGCCGTCACGAGTCCGTTCCAATGGGTCACTTGGAAGGTGGCGCTCTTTCACGCGGCGAACTTGCTCCTCTCCGTCGTGGCTTTCAGTATCATTACGTTTTGTCTCTCGCTGGGCCTTGCGTTGCTACCCTTGTGTTGCATCGGCGTCGTCGTTTTCAAATTCCTCATGTACGCCGTCTACTTTATCGCGCAGGCGGACGCGATCCTCTACAATTTGATCGCGCCGGTCCACGAGCACATTTCGGTCGGGTTTCCATGCCCCCGCGGCGGAATCGCGTACGAAGGCATCCGCGTGACCCCGGCACTGTCGAGATTTTCTCGCGACGGCTTGGTTGCCATAGTGTACTTCGTCTTGGTCAAGTTTCCGCTCTCGGTCTTGTTCAGTTCGTCCCTCCTCGTGCTGTTCTCCGTGTCGATTTCGTTCATGTCGTTCCCGTGGACGTTCCCAGCTCAATGGGAGCTCGATGGCACCGACCTCCAACTGCTGGGCCGCCCCATCACTGACGGCGATGCTCCGTTTATGATTGTGCTAGGGGTGTTGGTCCTGTACTTGACCATCTTCCTGTTGCACGTGTCCGCGCGAATTGTCCAGTCCATCACCAAATTCTGCACCTGCGAGTACTTTAGCGTGTTTGGGTATGGCCACTCGACGCACGCCTTCCACGGAGGACAGCCCATCCAAGGCCAGCAGACATTGTATGTGCAAATCTAACGTTAACGTTGTTAATCTCACTCCTTGCTTGCCCTTTATGATGATATACGTATGGGCGCAGTTCCGTGCCAACTTGGTTCCATGCCAACTTGGTTCCGTGCCACGATGCATGATTGGTAGAAAACAATCACTCTGAAATTTTCAGCCAATGAGATGCAATTTTTGACAGATAACTGGATAAAATCAAGTGGCTCGGAACTGTTTCCAGCCTTTCAACTCTTTTAATTCATTTTCCATCAACACTAATACGAATTTCGACATATTTTAAGTTCTACTAACTGCATTCATTCTCCTCTTTAAGAAACACTAGTATAAAAGCAATTTCGAGTAAAGGAACCCTCCATCGAAGGGTCCCAAAAAGTGTCACGGAACTGCGCCCATACGTATATTAACAGGCAAGATTTCGCAATTCACTGTCAATCCGTGTTCGCGGTCCGTGTTCGCGGTCCGTGAGAAAAATGACACGGATTAAATTTAGAAGATTTCGCTGTATAAATAGAATTCCGCGTCCCGAATAAACATAAGAAATCAGCTACTTTGCAATAATGAATGCTATCTGTGGAAGAACTTGTCATGGTTGTCAAGCGTTCTCGCTTCACGAGGCCTGCCCGTCGTCGCAGACTTCTGCTCACACTCATACGGTCGGTCGACTTCATACAAATATACAGAATCCTTCTGGAACTTTTCGTGGTTGTCGAGTATGAGGTGGAACCTGTGCGATGTTTTCTTACCGTCAACTTCGAGTACCTGGCAAGAGAAGCCAGGAACTTTTAACTCCCCTAGGACCAAAAGCAAATTATACGCGAGCACACATCCCAAGACTTCATGACTAGTAGATTTTGGAGGAATGTTCGCTTGTGGTTGGCATGTATCAACAGCGCCAAGTCATCACCCTCGTTTGTTGAACCCCTCCTGTTCGGATAACCACTACTTGAAGTATTTCTTATGATTACCGTGGATCTTCCGCTATAAAGTTTCATGAGTTTCCGTGATTGTACTAAATACTGAGGGTAATTACTTATAAGTATTACGGAAACGGACACCGATTACTTTGCGAAATCTCCCTAACGTTAAGTACTTATTCTGTCACTGTGAACAGTAATTTGGAAGTAACATTCTCCGAGTACTACGTAGTAGTAATAAATACTAACGTTAGAGCATCTCCCTATATTGATGTCCCTATCCCCAAAACCTGTTACAACAGTGGTACCATCGAAGTTACGGATAATTTGGGGATGTATCCGGGTGTTTTTGTCCCCATTTCGCTCGGACGTCCCAATAACTGAACATTTTGGGGACATCCCCATGATTTGGGGACAAAATCGCCCGGATAAGCCCCAAATTATCCGTACTGTAACATGCAGTAACGGTACAACCGAAGTTTTGAGATATAGAGTTGGGATAGGGACCCGCCCGCGTTGGAGATGCTCTTAGTACTCGAAAATTGACAATATTATTTTTATTACAATACAGTACCAGTATTAATGGCACACAATAGTCGGATGCGGTTTCCACCAATCAGAGACCGGCATGTGTGCGTGTTGAGCATTTCATCCTCATTCGTTCCCGCCTCGTCCGTCCGTCCTTTGCTCATGAGCTCGACCATTCGAAACCGCTTCGCCAATGAAGACAAGCAAGGCACGACAGAAGTGAGAAACGTCGCATTGGGTCCGAAGGTGTATGAGGGCGAGCGCTATGGGAAGATGTCCGAGCGGCTGAAGCGACACAACATCCAAATCAAAGGCAACGACCGGGTGAGTGATCGCTCTATGCTCATGCATACTTGCTGATTTGGATGTTGTGCGCAGAATCCTCGGTTTTACGGCTTTCTCGTGGGATTCGTTCTGCTTATCTTGATCTTCTTGTGGGTCCAAGTGTCGGGGGTCATGCGTTCGCGGCGTGTAGCAAATTACTAGGAAGAATTAATGCTAAATTGATCATGCATAATATGCATAATGCTAAGTTAATTCTTCAAACCCTTAATCGAATTCAAACTACTATGGTACACGGCTAGCACACAAACTGCCCGTTTATGCTTGGGGGGGAAATTGGGACCTTGGCGTCACGTTGGATGCTTCAGATGTGGTTGGGGAGGATGGAGTCGACGAGGGTCGGGCATCGTCGCCTGTTGTGGTCGTGGGATCTGTGTCCGAGGACACCTTTGCCTGCTTTCTTTGACGCGCCGTGCGGACACTAGCAAACGAAGTTGTGATGCGGTCCCAGCACAATCGAACGTAAGTTTTCGGCAGGCGGTGTAGCTCATTCGCCAGGGCGCTCATCAAGTTCGGCTGGTTCACAATGTTCGCAAAAGTCATGGGCTTGGCCACCAGCGGCTTGGATGACTCAGCCACACCAGGTTTGTCCACGGCGGGGGCGGGTTGGGCATACGCTGGAGGCTCTGAACGACTCGGCGTGCGACACTGCGTGATGTCTTGCGCACGGAACTCTTCAGGCGCGGAAATGCGCCGTGACGACCCAAGTTCACTGCGGGATGAGCCAAGTCGTTTGCGCGAGTACCCGTCGGCCAGTTCTTCCACCGTGAAGGTAGAGGCGCTTCGTCGCAACAAGACAGGCATTGTGGCGAGATGGCGTGATGATGCTAGTCAGGTTCGTTGCGGCGATGGAAGTGCCGCTGGGACGCACGTTGCAGAATCGCAGAATGAACGAGTCACACACGGGATCTTGGTCACCCAGACGTTGAAAGAAAACTTCGAGTGGGAGTGAAATTTATCTTCGATGTGTATTAATATTCATCCGTTACAAATTTCAAGTTAATTTAATAGTTTGGGAATATCGCCGACTTCTATTTAAATGTCATCAAACAACCAAATGTCAATTGGCGACGATATATGTACCGGTATCGGTACTTCTTTTGTGAATTATGGCCAATCTGAGTCACAATTTCACTAATAGAGTCTTGTGAGTAGGCACGTTTTGTGAATTCGAAGCGCCACACGAACAGTTGTTGTTGTGCAGGTGGACGTTACCCTTGCTGAGAATATTACGGTACTTCGAAGTATTTGAATCATTAGCGACCCGTGGACATGTCCACTATACTTTTTAATACTAGTACAAACCTACATCCTTCATTGATATGCATAGGTCAGGGTGGCTTCCGCTAGGTAATTCATTGCGTTGCCATCTTTGACCCAAGGCGGCCAAAGGGGCAAGATTTATCGTATAAGCTGGGTTGATCAGCCGAAGTTCGAAGCTGACGTTGTTCGTCGCACGCTATTTGGTAACGTTAACGTTACTAGTACTACTACCTAGTGTACTACATAATTCGAAGTAGTATTATTCCTGCAAACAATTGCAATTGTTTTTGAAAAATTTGCACACCCAACGGCCAACGGCGGGCCCAATCCGCATCTCGATACCATCGTTTGTCGACAAGGCCCCCTCTGTGCTTTTGTCCTTTAGCAATCTGATGTGCATAGTTACAGTACCTTGGTCGAGTTTCTCAGCTAACGTAAATAATCAATATTGCCCGGTATCAGAGAATGGCCCGATACACTTTTCATGGCGAAAATAATTTACAGTTAAGGTTACTCCGTAATTAACAGCAAATACAGTACCTAGTTTGGCGGGAGAATATAAATTTATCCAATCACGTGTTGATATTCATGAAAAATTATTCTATTGGACAAAAGACATGTCGTAGGGTTGCAAACTTCTTGCATTCCGTAGTTCCCTGTACTAGTACTGACGAATGACATCCATATGCACCGTAGTGCGTAAATTAAAGGTTGCCCGATATTATAAGTTGCAAGATGGATTCTCTGCATAAAATAATACTTTGGTAACGCCACCCAATTATCACAAATAGGAGTTTTCACTCACCAAGAAACTCCATCAACACTGCACCTAACAGAATGTATTCATACTGCGTAGTATTTGCTTCAAAGGTTTCATGTCCAATTCCATTGGTTGCAAAATGTCTATTGTAGTCCAGTAATTTTGCATGCCCCCAATCTATTTCCCACATATCAAAACGCAAGGGAGGAGCATGACGGAGATGCGCTGGTTGACGCCTCGTCCGACATAGATCAAGGTCCCATGGAGGCTCAAGACGAGATGTGCTGGTTGCCACCTTGTCGAAGGCGGACCAAGGTCCCAAGCAGAATGCAACCCCTGCAGTGCACAGAGAAAATAGGTTCGGTGTTTGCACGTCTGGTCACCCCAAGATATTCTACGGACGACCGCTTCAGAAGTGACAGTACCTCGGCAGCAGCCATGACTACCAGGAAAAGCTAGAGGTTATAAACTTTTATGCTTTGCATGTAATTTCTAATACACTCACTTGATACTACCCTACGCTTGTGAGGAAAGACCGCCGCAACATGTCCAAGAAAATTGGAGATTGGTTAAAACTCCGTACACAAGTTAAAGAAGTTGGGTACTCCTCGCGGTCGAACTTGAAGAAAGTACGCAACGTCGACGTTGCAACCTCTTTGAACAATCACATCGACGCCATTATTGTCCAATGGGTACAAGACGTGCGTAACGAAGGCATTCCAGTGGCTACATTCATGCTTCAATGAAGGCCAAAGAATAAGCTGTAGAGCAAGGAATTTCAGCCATTGAATTCAAGGTATCACGTGATTGGTGCACTAGTTTCAAAAATCCTTAAGGCTTCACGTTGAGACAGACAACCAGACAAGGCCAAGACACACAAGAAGGATCCGATGAAGCGCTGGAGGCATTTAGTTCTCATATCCATAACGTACATAATACTACATTCATACAATACGATAACGAACTATTCTAAATTTCAAGATCAGGTTCAAGATTGTGCCAGTGAAATCACCGTGATTTTGGAGAAAGTGCCGCCCCGTTTCACTTGATCGTGTCAACCTGCGGATGTCGCGTGGAACAAGCCGTTTAAGACACAGTTCCAGCGCTACTGGATAAATACGGACACACGAGAAAAATGACCCCTTCCGCATGGTCCGATCTGACCGGTCAACCATCGTTGTGTGGATCAACGAATCGTGGACGGAAGTGCTGCCGTCGATAATCATAGCAGGTTTCCGTCGGACAAAGTTGCTGCGCACTGACACGTCATCACAAGATGCAGCCGACCTGTATGTCAATGACGAAGAGTCGTGTTGTCTTTGACTTGCGACCTCGCCCATCATTCTATCGAGTAGTCAAGGTTGATTCGACGACCTACGAGATCGATTCGAACTTGTATGGCGTGAAATTTGTGAGCACGCGAGAACCCTCAGGACCTCGACGGCTTTGTCGGTCATGTCGTTGACGTAATCGTGGCTTTCGTCAACTTTGGCACCTTTATCCCTCTATAAATCAGTATTTGAGCAAGCACTATAGGTACTGATCAAACGATATGTAAATTCCTGTTTTCTCGATCTATTGGAGGATTATCGATATTATTGCTAAAGACTGTGTTATTACTTTCATCTCTGTATTTGATCATAGTACGGATTATATCCCGTATATCGATAGGTATTTCCAAAATACCGGTTAATATTATCAGGAATTATGTTTTTGATTCAGAGGCCTACTGGAGTACGTATAAAATAAATCTTGCAGGCCTACGTTCTCATGGTGTGCAGTATTGCCGCAAGTGCAGCAACGACACATATTGTTACAGTAACTTGGCGCACCCCATCAATTTCCAAATCGTTTTCGTGAACTCGGTTAATTGTTTACTGTATTGCTATTATTAATAATAGTATTGCTACTATTAATAACACAAAGCTTACTATAAGAACTCTATAAACCGAATACTATTACTTCGCAGTAATATTAATAGTGTTCTTGTATTATTAATATTATTAATACTAGGATTCATTGTTCAAGAATACTGGCAGAGGTCAGTACTCAGCCAATCAAAACTGGTGGTTTTCTGATTGCTTCTACCGTAGTTGGTAGAAGCAATCAGAAAATCCCCGACCAACCAGCATGTCCGCGCCGCCTCCATTTCCTCGACCCAACGTGTCTATGGCCATGCCGAAGAGCGCACGTACGTAAGTTGCTGGTTTGTGCGGGTACTCACCTTGTGATGGATGATTGCGCCCTCCTAGTGCTCTCCAAACTTGAAGCGTTCCTACCACAAATCGAGCGCGAGAACAAGTCCCTCGCCCAAGCGATATCCGCGGGCGAAGCCGACAAGTTCAACATTGAAGTCGATGAAACGGACACCGAGAAACCTGTCATCCAAATGGTACGTGTCAAGTAATGCCCATCACCTCGCACCATTCTTGAATGACGTCTTCAATGTTTCAGGACTTTGCCTTGGGAGTCATGGGTGACGGAGATGACGACGACAAGGACAGCGACGACGACGACGACAATGTGTCGCACGACATTCAATTCAAAGCACAAAGCCCCACAAACTCGATTCGGCTGTCGCCGCCGACGGTGGTGCCGGCGCGCTCCTTGATCCAAGAACTAAATTAACTAACCCATCCCTTCATCCAACCTTTTGCTTTCCTTGTGGTATCTTTAACCTGCTCGGATGGGTTAATATGATGAATGTAAACAAAGCGTACCGTCTTCTAAGCATCCACGATCATCCTGGATATCGCTGTGAAGGCGGTACAGTTGTAGCATTGCCGCACCTTGCTATTTATTCACTTTCACCAACCCCAAGGTTTGCGGTTACACTAGGTATATGAGTCGTTTGTCGGGTATTTATCTCATATGTCGGGTATTTGATACGAAGGGTTCTAACTGTAAAGTAACGACTTTGAAACGGCGTAAAGATAACGCCTTTTGCGATGCACTTCACGCGAAAGAACGTGTCGGGCGAAGGCGAGAAGGTGGATGTGGTCGCCCTGCAGCAGCGGGACTTGGCCGGCACGCCTGTGTTCCAATACGTGATGACCAACAACGCTGTGGAGCTCATGAAGTACCTTGTCCACAACGACAGCCAGCTCAACTCCCGCGACAGCGTCGGCGCCACGCCGCTTCTAATTGCATTCCTGTACATGAACTTTGACCTGGGCAAACAAGTCATCATGGCGTATCCTGGTATTATAATACATACGTCTACATGTTGTATTTACCTTGCTCAATTCATGCATGCTTGTTCAGTGTCCAAGGGGTTTCCATATGCGTTGGCATCTTACGATGCTCGCGACGCCAACAACCCGTCGCCGTACCAAGGCGAGAACATTTTGCATATTGCCATCGTACATCGCAAACTGGAGATCGTGAAATGGCTCGTGGAAACCCTCCCCGACCTGCTCGTTCGTCTACCTCTCCCGAGGATCTGCATGTGATGCTTGTTCTTGTCCGTAGGATGCAGAGACCACTGGAGTCTTCTTCTCGCCTGGACACGCGTGCTACTTTGGCGGGTCACCGCTGCTCTTTGCCCTGTCATCACGACAGCTCGAGGCCGCGGCCTGCATCCTCCAGGCGGCCGACCGCGCGCCGTCGACGTCTCGCGCCGCGCGCACCAGCATCTTCATGATGGACGCGCACGGAAACAACGCGCTGCACATGGCCGTCGTGCACGACCTCCCCGACGCGTTCGACTTTGCCGTGCGCCACGCCATGGCCCGGTTTCCGAACGCGTGCCCCAAGTCCTTTGACGCCAACGACGCCACAACGCCGTACGACTTGCCGCTGTTTATGAAGCAGCTGCACGGGACCGACAAGGACCATTTTGAGCGGTTCATCCGCAAACACAACACCGACTACTTGTACGAGAGTATGGATTACTAGTCGTAAGCCATGACACCCGAGATGTAGATCGCCGTTGACGCTGGCAGCCGCGATGGGCCGGTCGCGCATGTTTAAACACATCCTCAAGTCGCTCAGCGTCAAGTCGTGGACGTACGGCCCCGTGACGTCCATGATGATTCCGTTGAAGGGATTGGAAGAGCGAGCCCGCCGACACCGACCCAAGAAACCCCATGCGCCCAAAGGGGGGGGCACAGTGCGCCCCACGACGGCCGAAGTGCCGTCCGCCGAGACGTCGTCCCACCCTCGCCTGGACCCGATTCAGGTACTCCAATCTCTCAATCAGCAATGGCTTCATGGGCAGTGGGTATAATACTAGGCATCTTGGTGGCATCGCGTGCTAGAGCGGCGCAACGTGCGCACGGCCGTGGAATGTCTCGGGTCGAACTCACCGCTGTCGATTTGCATCGACCCAAAGACCCTCAAGGTAATCGTTCGTCCTTCGTCGTCGTCGTCACCATGAGGACGATTGAACCTGTCGTAGGACGTGATGCGCCACCGGTTGGAAATGATCGACACGTTTGAAGTCAAGATGGTGCTCGATAAAAAGTGGGAGTTTGCCGGCCGCCACTTGTTTACGTTCAACTTTCGCCGGCATGTGTTGTTTTGCAGCGCGTTCACTGCGTCCACGTTCTTCACGCGGCATTACCGCGACGACGGCGTCAACTTGGACTGGACCACGGCGTGGCCGCACGTTGTGCTCGAGTGCGTCGTGGTAGGCGAAATGATCTACCGCGTCTACTATGAATTCAAGCAAATCAAAAAGAACGGTACATATCATGACATCACATTGCTGCACTGTCAACGGTTTCATAGCCACGATGTAGGCATCGCGGGGTACTTGGAAGACACTGGCGCGGGTATGGTGGACAACGTGCTCAAGCTGTCGTTTTGCGTCTTGGTGGCCCTCGCGGTTGTATTTCGATTGTCGAGCAACTTTGTGAGCGAAGACGCGTGCGTGTCGCTGGCCCTCCTCGCCACGTACTTTTACTTTTTCTTCTTCTTGCTTGGGTTTCGCAGCACAGGGCCGTTCATTGTCATGGTGCTGCGGATGCTCGTCGTGGATGTTGGTCGGTTTGTCGTCATCTATTTCTTCGTGCTCACGGGGTTCGGCATCAGTCTGTACGTGATTGTGGACCAGCGCGCGGGGGTTTCTGCGTGGTTTCAGCGCATGAAGAGCTTGTCCCTGGCGTCGTTTTGCTCGACGTTCGCATGGAGCGACTTTCAAACGATAAACGTCATGCAGCTGAGTCAGCTGAGCGAGCTCCTTGTCTTCACGTACTTGTTCATGGTCGCTGTGGTGTTTCTGAACCTGCTCATTGCCACGTATGGTTGCATCGTGTACGTAAATGCTTGGAATATGACAACATGCATGTAGGATGGGCAACACGTACGAGTCGATCATTGAGGCCTCCGAACAGCAATGGTATGCCGAGCGAGCCAACATCATGAGCAGCATGGAGATTACCTTGTCCAAGACGACGCGGGAAAGCAATCGGATGCGGTATGCAGTGGAACTCGAAGGCGAGCGGTACCTACAAGTGGAATACGTCGACTCGGACGCGTGGCTCGGTGTGCAGGAGCATGACCTGCATGCGACCTTTCATGACTTTAAGACGGCCGTGGCGGAGTTTCGCGCCAAGAAAGCGGCTAACAGGGACGACGGCGACGAAAGCGCTTCGATCCAGAATCGAATTGATGCACGGATACACGAGCTACATGATGTGCTGTTTCCACAATAGACGTTCCATGCATTACTCATGGGATGATTTCATTACGACTACGCTTTACTACCGGTAGTAGTCCCAGCCACCGAGCAGGCGATGCGTCTACTATTATGACAAGTTGGTCATCAAGAAACCATTCCTTGGTTTATCGACCAATATATATCGCGCGAAATCGTTTCAACAATAATTATTTGAACTTTGCTTTAATTCGAATACAGTTTTCAAGCTATTAAAACCAAGGTTTGGATCGCGACGGTTCACACGTCAGATTTCATTTTCACTAGGATGGAGAAGATGGAGCTGGCGGCAACGCCGGAAGGCATTACGTGGCAGGACCGCGAGATTCGATTTGACATTGCCGCTTCTTCGATGGAACTGCGCAAGGGAGAGGTCGCCATTGACTCGATCAATTCAGTGGAAGACACCAAAGGCAACAACGGGGACCGCGGGTCGCTTGAGATCACCAACCTGCGGCTGCTCTGGGCATCGCATCGGTCTACCCGTACGAACTTGAGCATCGGGTACAATTGTGTGCAGTCGGTCAAGATCCGCACGGCCACGTCAAAGCTGCGAGGGTCCACCCAAGCGCTGTACATCATGACCAAGTATTCCAACTCGCGCTTCGAGTTCATCTTCACGTCGTTGGTCAAGGCCAGTCCCCGGCTGTTCACGACAGTCCAAGCAGTCTTTAGATCCTACGAAACCACGAAGCTGTACCGCGACCTCAAGTTACGCGGTGCCATCATCCAGGTACTTCTCTTCACGAAGTAGTTGTTACTTGCCATGCTTATCACGGCCACAGGACAAAGAGCTGCGTCTGCTGCCGCACGAGCAAGTGTACACCAAAGTTCCGGGGGTGTGGAACCTTAGCTCGGACCAGGGGAACCTCGGCACGTTCTTCGTGACCAACGTTCGCGTGGTGTGGCACGCCAACCTGGCCGAGAACTTCAACGTGAGCATGCCGTACATGCAGATCAAGAGCGCGCGCATTCGCAACTCCAAGTTCGGCCCCGCGCTCGTGATTGAGACGTCCGTGTCGAGCGGCGGCTACGTGCTTGGGTTCCGCGTGGACCCCGAAGGAAAGCTCACCGAGTTGTTCAAAGAGATCAAGAGCTTGCACACGGTGTTCTCGGTCAACCCGATCTACGGCGTCGAGTACTCGATGGAAGAAAAGCCCGCGTCCATCGAGTTCCTCAAGCAGCCGCGCAAGATTGACGACATCGAGATCGTTGAGGACCAGTCCAGCTCCATTGACGCGTTCGCCGCCTACTACGCCGTGGCCAACAAGAACCAAGTACTGCCCCGTGTAGTCTCATTGACGAGGTCGTGGGCTGATTGATATTCATTGTTGTAGGACCGAGCCCCAACCTACTGCAAAGACATTGGCTTGGCCATTGAAGGCCTTCCGGACGGGATTTCCCTCGCGGACCTGTGGTGTGTAACCTAGCTACTGCGTCTACGTAGGCCGCCGCTTTGCCTTGTGCATATCAAGACAGTGTTGAAATGCATGGCGTGTGTATAAGACAGTTATGGACTCGCATTGTTTTGCAACGGGACGTAAGTGGTGTTTCGGCGACGCATCTTTCGATACACGACGACGAGGATCGCGACCCCCACGGCGGTTGCCGCGACCGTGGAGCCCATCGTGAACGAACTCAGCGACGACGCGGCGAACTTTTTAGAAGTGGTCGTGCCTGGAGGAGGTGTCGGTTGGGTTGGCGTGACGGTTGGTTTCGTGGTGGATTCCCTCGGAGCTTTCGAGTTGATGGGTGTCGCCGTTGTGGCTGGAACGGCAGTAGGTGGAGATGTGATCGTGCCTTCGGATGCGGTTGGGATGGGGTGAGCCACAAAGGATGTTGTCGTGGGCTGTGGGGTGGTGATGATGTTGGTGACAGCAACAGTGGTTACGTTGGCGGTGTTCTTGGTAGAGTTGAATGAGATCGTGGGTGTGCTAGTGGGTGGTGATGTGATCACGTCGTCTGGCGCTGTCGTGGGCGGTGGGGTGGTGATAATGTTGGTGACTGCAATTGTTGTCGTATTCTTGGTCGAGTTGAACGAGGTAATGGTGGTGCTAGCGGATGAAGGCACGTAGCAAGTTCGTACACCGGCGTCCTCGGGCTCCAACGCGTTGTCAGGTAGAAGCTCCACACATGTGGCGTCGCCATAGTGCTCGAACGTCAACCGATTGCAGTCGGCTTTCCTGAACACGTTGGGCTGACCTGTCACGGGCACACATGCGCCGTTGAGCACGGTCTCCACTTCCCATGGTCCGTGGAGGATCTGCATGTACGTGGCATTGGGGTACCACACGTCCACGCTAGACGTGTTGGCGGAGCTCGTCGAGGTACACGTGGTGGTGACCGCGACGGCCGTCGTGTTGTCGCGCTTGTGGTACACGAGGGGACCGACGCATGGCGAGGTCGTGGCCATGGCTCGGCAAAGCGGAAGACGAGAATGTCACCTCCCGTCATGGATAGTCTCTTGTGCACCCGACAAAAAGACGTTGTAACCGTCTGACAGTTACAAAACCAAAGAATAGAGTTTTTATTCAAACGTTGAATGTTGGATTACTAGTTTTATCTGGGCGACGCGCGGAGGATGCGGATATCGTCGTGCGGCCTGTGTTGGTATATGATAAGTCTGGACAAAGGAACGGTGATTAGGCACGTACTTGTCGTTGGCGCCAGTTTGCACGAGCCCAATGCGCTTGATCACGCCCATGCCTTCCGAGATGCGACCAAAGATCGTGTGCTTTCCGTCCAACCACGGCGTCGGCGCCAATGTGATGAAGAATTGACTGCCGTTCGTGTTCGGACCAGCGTTTGCCTGGGATAGTAGTTCGTTACGTTCCCGTGCGTGAAGTGTAGACTTACCATAGACAGCACCCCAGCACCAGTGTGCTTCAACTGTGGGGAAATCTCGTCTTCGAACTTGCCCCTGATAGTCAATGATGCCCACATCAACCCAAAGACGACGAGGCGAACAACGTACCCATAGATGGACTCGCCACCACGTCCTGTACCCGTTGGGTCACCTCCTTGGATCATAAATTCCTACGTGTACCGCGTGTGAATGAGTGAGTGAGCATTGAATGTCATATGAGAGTGCATACCTTGATAATGCGGTGAAATATCGTGTTGTCGTAGTACCCTCGTCGTGCCAACTCGATGATGTTCTTGCATGTACGGGGTGCATGTTGTACATACAGCTCCATGGTAAACGTTCCCTGTCATATTCGCATAAACGTATGCTTCCACGTGTCCTTGACAAGCACTTGCACATACCATGGACGTCTCAAAGTCTACGTAGGATGCCATGTTGGTCTCGCTTCCTTGGATTTGAAAAATGTGGGGCGCCTGGTTGAACCACCAATCATAGCGCCCAAAATTCAATATTATTGACCAATGAATTTATAGGAAACACAGGATTCCTGTAAATTCATTGGCTGGCTAAGTGCGTTTCGATGGCATCAACGTCCTCGCACAGGCACGCTTCGTCGCGGCTATCTCGATCAAGGAGCCCAAGTCCACGAAGGCATCGACGCGCAAGTCGGAGTCGAAGTCGAGAGAACGTCAGACGAAGCAATCGGTCAGCGTCACGATCACCATCCCCCGAGCGAAAGAAGAGAAAGAAGAAGGAGAAGAAGCACAAGAAGTCCAAACGGCACCATGCAAACGACGACATCGATGAGGAACCACATCAACAGCACGAAACTAGCGATGCTGGTGCTGCTGCTGTCGTGGTTCCCGCCGTGAAAACGGACCGAAAGAAAGACTTCTTTGCGCAGTTGAAGGAGCAAGAGGCGACGAAGGTCACCGTCGGCACCATCCATACGTCGGGGCGCAAACAGGAAAGCGGGGCTGCGCAGTTGGACAACTGGGAGTGCGTGAAAGCCGGGTGTGGCAACAGCAACATGAAGCGAGCGACGTCGTGCCTCAAGTGTGGCGCCATGCGCCGCATCACGCAGTGGCGCTAACTTACATTAGTACATTTTCGTCTGTCGAATTCAAATGCTTTTTAAATGTGTATTGCTGTGAAAATAAATTAAAATTGTCACACCGACTTGCCATCTCGATATATCGAATGTTTGAAATATTTCAAATACATCTCTCGATGTCAACCATCGATCCAAGCTCCTCACCCATCACCACGGTCGTCGCGACCACGAAGGACGAGAATGCCGCCGCGATAGCTGCATCATCATGTATCCGCAAAGTGGGACGGCCCAAGTCTCCCATCCATGCCGAGTTCGAGTGGAGTCCAAAGTTTGGCGATCTGAAGTGCGACCAAGCCAAGTGCAAGCATTGTGGATGGCGAGGCGCGTACTCGAAGCAGAACATGGATCGTCACTGGAAGAACTGTCTGCAGGTACAAGCACCATTGGCCAAACCTCGTCGCGAGCTCACGTTTGTCTAGCGTCCGCGAGAAGACTTGCATGCGTTGGAAGCTCGGTACATTTGAAATGAATTTGAAATGTGGACCGTTTGAAATACCTCTGCGATGCATGCAGTGCAGTACAGTAGTCCAACTTTCACTATGATTAGACGCCGCTTCCTGAGTACCGTGCCCAAGCGGTTGACGTCCACGGAACGCTCCTTGGGTCTGGCCAAGGTCCCCGACTGGAAGATCGTCGAAGGCCGTGATGCCATCTACCGCCGCTTCGAGTTCAAGGACTTTAGCGAAGCGTGGGGTTTCATGTCCCGCGCGGCCCTCGCGGCCGAGCAAATCAACCACCACCCCGAATGGTTCAACGTGTACAACCGCGTCGAAGTCACGTTGAGCACCCATGACTGCGACGGCTTGTCCCAAAATGACATCAACTTGGCCACCAAGTTGGATGAATTCGCCATTGGCCTCAAGTCGCAGCATGATATCTAGGCATATGTACATACATTCCCTTGGGCTCGCTGTAATATACTAGTGTAATCACCGTCGATGTACAATGTAACCGATGGATCCACTCCACGCCAGTCGCCGCCGACCTATCCTGCTTCGCATACACACACAGAACATTGCATAGCGAATGAGTAGTACTCATACTAGTACTCATTGAGTACTGCATCACAAAGTTGCCATCCTCCATATTAACGGTAACGTTACCACGAGTATGCTATAAACGACGACAACGGTGGCGACGTCATTGAATACTACAGTATGTAGACACGGAACACACTAAAAGGAAATGCAATGTCTTTTGATTTCCTCATCGAAACGAGTTGGCGTTGCCGCCGCGACTGCCGCTGCCGCCATGCTTGACGCTGGACTTGCGCTGGGTGGCTTTGGAAATGACCGACTCGGCCACGCTCTGGTGGGACGCGACCGACGACACATCGTCGTCCCCAACGAGTTTCTTACGCGTCGACCCCGCGACGCTCTTGGCGGACGACGCGATGAGGGCCGTGCCGGACTTGTACAAGTCCCGCGCGGGTTTCTTGGCGTCGCGGGCTTTCGGGCGCGGCGGTGGCGTGCCTTCAACGTGGTGCGGGTACAAGGCCGCGTATTCCATTAGACCTACGACGACGACAACGACAGATGTGAGGTTATGACGGGACGACAGCAACGAACAGACGGACCGCCAGACAGGACGTAGATGTTGTCAAAGCCTTTTTGACCGAGCAGGTTGGCTGATTGAATCGACAGCTTCTCGTCCAAGCAGTAGAGCACGATGAGTTTGCTTTCGTGGTTTTTCTACGATAGAAGCGATGGACATGACGACGTCGAGTTGAGATTGGGCGTACGAATTGGTGCATTTCGGGAAGGAACTGGTCGCGGCAAAGGAAGGCCGTGGGAAACGACTTGGCTACGTTAAGATTGGATGAACAGGGGATGGTGGATGATGGACGACGTACATCGATGGATGCGGTTCTCTGTAAAGTCTTCCCGCGGACGCGTGTCGAGAATCAAGTACGGGACGTCGTAGTTCTCGCCTTCCTCGGCGTCGTAGCTCACAACACGTGGCCCTGCATGCTCTTGGTTGTCATCGGACACTTGTCGCTCCATGACAAACTCGCCGTCAGCATTCTTGACCATGCGCGCGACCATTTCTGGTGCCGCGGCATCGCCCTTGCCCGTGTCCTCGTACTCGGCAAACAGTTCCGCCAGGCATCGAGGCGTCACACGGCGGAATGTTTCGTCGCGGCGTTTCAGGAACTCCTTGCTCGCTGCACACCAATCCCAAATGTCAGTCCGCAGCCCACCATGATTGAGTCCATGTCGGGGGTTATGAACGTACAAATCAAGCGCACTTTGTTGACGGTGCTGCCAGTGTCCAACTTGCTCTGGGTGTCCTTGTACTTTGGGTTCTGCGGCAGGCGCTTCTCCATGATCTACACACCCCATCATATGTCCAGTCCATATCCCATGCTTCAAGCCGCCTACCGTCATCGCGGCCTTTGGCTTGTTGTGCGTACCGGACTTTAAGCTCATCGTCGTCGTGCGTTCGCGGGAAGGATCCAATTGTGCGTCTTTCGAGTTTGGTTCGAAAAAGCGGCCATGTTGAGGTATTCAAATACTGACCAATCCGATTGACGTAAGGGAGCTTCCGATGATTTGATTGGCTTTTATTCTTAGATGGGATTTGCCGGATGTTATCCGGAAACGTGGCGGGGTTTGCAAAAGCGCCAAGTTTCGGCGTGGTGATTGAAGGCGATCATGCTGAAAAGCATTCCGAAGGGCGATGTGCAGAAGATCTGCAGCGGGCAATCGGTGGTGGATCTTGCCACGGCAGTGAAGGAGCTGGTCGAGAACGCGCTGGATGCCGGCGCGACCGCAGTTGAAGTCAAGCTCAAGGAGTTTGGCCATGTGGGCTTTGAAGTGAGTGACAACGGACAAGGCATTCCCGCGGCAGACCATGCCGCGATCGCCCTGAAGCATTACACGTCCAAAATTCGAGCGTTTGAAGACTTGGAGCGTGTCGTGTCGTTTGGGTTTCGCGGCGAAGCGCTGAGTTCGATTTGCCAATTGTCGGGCTTGTTCAGTGTGCACACTCGCACGGCGGACGACAGCATTGGCACGTTGCTGCAATACGACCAACATGGAGCGTTGATCTCATCGGTACTTGTACATTTCCCAGCACCCCTTCCTCATATTCACCACGAACGTGCGTCATAGTCGAAAAAGGCGCGGTCGGTTGGCACAACGGTCATCGTAGATGATCTCTTCCTTCCCTTGCCTGTCCGATACAAAGATTTCACCAAGAACATCAAAAAGCACTACGGGAAAACCCTTCGCATCTTGCAGGTGCGTTCGACCTCCCGATCTGTCCCCATCATACATATACTACTCGTTGTTAGGGATACGCTGTGATCAGCTCCAACGTAAAGCTCTCTTGTGTGAACATTATGGGAAAGAACAACTTGCGGCAGCAAGTGCTGTCGACGGAAGCAAACCACGCCGTCGCCAACAACATTGCCAACGTGTTTGGCAGCAAGTTTCTCAAGACGTTGGTTGCCGTCGACATTTCGTTGCCGTTCTGGCCCGACATCATCGACAGCGCGTTCCACATCACAGGGTTCGTGTCCAAAGTCGGCGCCGGCGTCGGCCGGAGCGACAACGACCGCCAGTTTTTCTACGTCAATGGCCGCCCCGTCGATCTCTTGAACGTAAGGAGCATGCGTGCATGAGATACAGTCTACTCGATATACAAGACAACTAGCAACATCATGGCTCTGTGTTGATGTATATTCTACTTGACAGTGTAGCTGAAAACTGTTTTCTCTATGGCAGGCCACAAAGGCTGTGAACGAGATCTGGCGGCAGTACGAAATGAAGCAAAAGCCAGCGTGTGTGCTCAACTTTGTCGTGCCGCCCGACGCCGTCGACGTCAACGTCACCCCCGACAAGCGAGAAACATTTGTTCGACACGTACATGAGACACCAGACCCTCCTCCTCCTTCTCGTCCCATGTACAAACTCACCTGACGCCCGTAGGAATCACATATTGTCGAGTGCCTCAAGGCAGGACTGACCGACTTGTACGAACCGTCTCGCGGCACATTCCACGTGCAAAGACTCTTGCCTACTACGAGCCAGCACCCAGAAGACCCCCAGCAGGTCATGCCGACAAAACGCCCTCGAGATCAAACACCCCAAGCACCAAAGGAGGCTTTCGTCGATTTGGATGGTGCAGAAGCAGCAGCCCCCCCGACGACCAAACGACCGCGACAAGAGGCACATCCTTTGACACCAACGACTGAGCCATCTGTAGGACTGCCATTGGACGAAGCGACTTCAAAAGGGCAAAATGGACACGGAGGCGCGGATACGTGCCCGACGGTGCGGCTCTTTCGCGTCGACGACGTTGCCGAGGCGAAAGCATCAGTTGATGAGTCGCCTCCCGTTGTACAGACCGGTGGTGTACCCGCGACTCCCAGTCCCATCAAAACCAATCGCCCTGGGACCACGACCTTCTCGTCCAGTCCATCCCCCCAACCCAGCGACGCCCGCTGGACAACCCCCACGGCATCCACGTGTGCAGCCACGACCATTTCTGCGACCAAGGCCACGCCAAACAACAAACGACGCACGAGCCTGCTCTACTCCATCTCGAAAGCCACCATGGACGACGTCGTCCGCCAGCGAAAGCTGCACGTTGAGCACCAACAGCAACAACAGATCGACCCCGCGCGACGGCGGCGGCTGTCGCTTCCTCGAGCCTGCGCCATAGACAACGCCGTCGACGACCCTGTCGAAGCCACGGCATCGCTGCAGCGAGTGTTGACCAAGGTAGGTTGGTACCTACCTACCTACCTCATATTCACGGACGACGAAACGTTCTCATGGATTCGTAGGCGGACTTTCGGCGCATGCACGTGATTGGGCAATTCAATTTGGGGTTCATCATCGCCCACCTGGACGCCGACTTGTTTATCATCGACCAGCACGCGAGCGACGAAAAGTTCCGGTACGAAATGCTGCAGCAGACGACCGTGCTCCACCAGCAGCCCCTCGTGCGTCCCATGGCGCTGGAGCTGACCGCCGTCGAGGAAATGACCATCTTGGACCACTTGCCGCTGTTCAAGAAGCAAGGGTTTCACTTTCAAGTCGACCCCGCGGCCCCCGTCACCCAAAAGTTGCGCCTCATCTCGGTCCCGTTTAGCAAGCACACCCAGTGGGGCGTTGACGGTACGTCATATCGGAATGTGACAGAGGGGAATCACATGTAGAGTAGACGTCCGCGAGTTGGTGTCGTTGGTGCTCGAGTCCCCCCACGCGGCGGCGGCGGCAACGATCCGCCTGCCCAAGACCCTGGCCATGTTTGCGTCACGAGCGTGTCGCAGTGCCGTGATGATTGGCACAGCGTTGAAGCGAGAAGACATGCAAAAGGTGGGTCCACCGATCAATATAACAGTACAATATAACCTGGACGTGGGGTAGATTGTGGTGCAACTGGCAGAGTTGGAGCAGCCGTGGAACTGTCCCCACGGGTATGAATGACCTCAACCTTAACATCACATGCCTCTGATGTGTTGTGTGGGGTAGACGGCCTACCATGCGCCACTTGGTCGATCTGTCGTCGACGTCGGCCTTCCAAAAGTGACACGTGAAAACCCTCGTAACGTTAATACAAAATTGTCTAGTTTCTGGTTTAAACTTGGCTTTGTGACCAGCCTTTCTGTTTTCTTTCAAGTCCGCCGTGTCCCAGTCCTACCTGGGACAAGGGGGCTTTTGCCAAGTTGTACAATCGATTTCGACGGTGCAATGGCATTCCTACGCGGTAAAAAGCTCCATTTCTTCCATAAGACCACGACACGCCTCGGCAACGCCCCCTTCTCCTACTCGGGGGCGTCAAAGTTCATCCCCCTGCCTCCTTCCCCCCAGACTTCTGGTATCGGCGTGTCCTTTGGACGACCGACGCACGCCGGAGGGATGGCCACCCAGCACAACTGGGCAGACGAGTGTCGCCGCCCACTAGCGCGACGACGTTGTGCGTCTACTTTTGATGGACAGAAGCGTGCCGACTGCGACAATGTCGTCCTAGAGAAGGGGGGACGAAATAACATCCGGACGCAATTGTGGTACCATCTGCTGGAATGGTACGTGCACACGGCGCGTAGCGATGGCGACCACTTGGTCGATCCAGACATGGGCGCGCTAGCAATGGCGTACGGACGTCCATTTGCGACACTGTACATGCAGATCTTGACGAGACAGCCGTGGATGCAGTGGGCCACGACGTTCGTGCCGTTCCTCCCGTCCACATCCGTCGACCGGCGACACTTCAACGTGCGCGTGCGTCGCTTCTTCGACGTCCACGGGCGCGCGATGTGGGAGCAGAACTTTTGGCTGGGGAACAAGGGGGATGAGTGCGTTTTCGGGGGTCCGAGCCGTCGGTTCGTGTTGGCCCGGGCGGCCATGGGGCTGTTGCTGTACGACTTGTACCAGCTCGAAGGCGTGGATGCGCTGCTGTTTCTGGATGCGTTTCCACATCCGTATTGGCCGTCGCTGCGGCAGACCCCCGTGCGATTGAATCGAATGGACGAGCGCGCGCACTTGTACCTGGACGAGCAACATGCCAAACGATGGCCCGACAGTTCAAAATACTTGGACCACCCGTTTGCGGAAGGAAACCATCAAGACGAAGGGCCATGGCCTGCGCCGTGTGCGTCATTTCTTCGATGGGCGGCGGGGAGGAGCCGCGGGTCGTGCGCAGCGGACGCGTGGCTGGCAGCAGGAGCGACGCCCCAGTGGTTTGCCACCGTGTTGGCCGAAATGGAAACCGCGCGAAGCGGCCGCGAAGACTCCCCGTATATTTGCGTGATGCTGGCCGAGCCATTGCCACAGCATTGGAAGGTCCCCACCAACCCCCCGACCAAATGGATGTGGGATTGGACGTCGCAATCCGTTGTAGAGCGTCCATCTCCGTAGTATTAAACATTGTCGTCGTTCCCACATGATGGAGGTATAGGTAATGCATTGTAAATATTGAATTTTGCGCTGATGGAAGCGTTTTCATGGACGGCACCAAGAACCCGTTAAGACCCCGTCCCAGTCCAGGGTACCAACGGCACTTTGATGCACAGTTGAAATTCGTCGATGGTCGCCCAAAGCACGTTCACATCATCGTCGTCCACGACGGGTGGCTGGCTGTACCCGTTGTCAGAAGGAGTTGGCTCGGGGGGAAATACGACCCGCGACACCGTGGATGGCTTTGTGAGTTTCTTGGCGCGGCATTTTGAAATTCGGCACGCCATGGGCTTGGGGCTGTTGGTCAAGGCCTTTGCAGCGGGGGAGTCGACCTCGGTGTGCCAAAACTTGGTTGACGAGTTTGTCAGCGATGCGTCGAACGTAGTGATCTTTGCCAAGAAGCAGCCCCCTGCAAGCCTGCCGAGCAGTTCGGAAAGCGTTGGCACGTTGACGTTCACGTTGTCAAAATCACCCAGTCCGTCCAGCACCCCACGGCCGAAGAAACGCTGCGTCGACGATGTCATGTCCAACGACATGGCGAAAACGATTGAATCCAGCGACGTGAACCAAAAACCATCGCGAGCCAACATGGAGGTCAACGAGAAAGCTGGTGAGTTGGCGGAATTGGCCATTTCGCTCAAAGGCAAACGACGGGGGTTTGCTGAAAAGTGGATTGCCGTGGTCGAAAAGGCCCCCTGGACGCGGTGGGCGGCATCCTTCGTGCCCTTCTTGCCCCCTTCGTCCCCTGGTCGCATCCACTTCAACGGACGTCTCCTCACCTTCTTCCAAGTCCACGGCCAAGCCATGTGGGAGCGTTACTTTTGTCTGCCCGATCGAGAATCACCCAAGTCCACGACGCGCCTTCGCGCAGCGATTCAAGAGTTTGGACTGGTGGTGCACCAACTGTTTGAGCTCGAGGGAGTGAATGTGTTCCTCTTCCTTGCGCATTACCCCCATCCGTCGTGGCCGATCCTGTCCGAGCATTCGCTCCTGCCGTACAACTTTCAAGGCTCGAATTTCGTACGGTACCTCGAAGCCCAGCATATGAAGCGATGGCCGTCGTGCGCCGACTATTGCATGCAAAACAAGTCGTCCCTGAAACAAACCATGTCAAGCTACCAACCCCTGGCGTTTCTGGATTGGGCCGCCAAGTTTACCCCCAAGGCTGGCGCGGCTTTTCATTGGACCTTTATGCAGCAATGCCCGACGTTTTTCACGGACCTCAAGACCGCCCTTCAAGACAAGACGTTCGACCCGGAGACCTCACCGTACATTTCCGTCCAACTGCCCGAACCACTTCCATCCAAATGGAGCTTCCCGAACGGCCCCCAGACAAAATTGCGATGGGATTGGGTGCATCAATGCGCGGTTGACCGTTCTGGACCGTAGGGGTAACGTTTTGTTGCATGGAACACTTTTGTGGGTAATCGTAGCATGCATTGCCTATCGCTATCGGAAAGTGCCAACTATACCTGCTGCGCTTGTGTAACCCCCCCCCTTGTATATTTCACCAATTCATTGCCGGTGCAACTGCAGTACTACAGTAGTGTACTACTGTACGAAGGTGCTATGACGTAAAGTTACCTGCACTCACGACCGGTCGAGCGTCGTTTATTGTTCAAGTCTGACTTGGAAATCGAATCTCGCGTCCTTCTGCTAAACGAGATTTCCGTCAAAATATACTCCAGAGTATCTTGTCAGGGAATCAAAATACTGTGTACAGTACATACATGGTACTCAGTAGTAGTACAAGTAATAGATACTAATACGTATATAATCGTAACGTTATGAACAATTATGACGAAACACTGGTAGCAGTAAATAGCTCACTTCAACTTGCCTATCCATATCGACCCAACGACAGCGCGTGCTAGCAACACGGGTTTAGCTTTGGCCCATGGCATTTCTTCGGCACATCAGACTCAGCCTCGCTCATTCTCCAATTCCCCGCGCTTGCGCCAAGTAGACATGACATCCTCTATCGCTGCAACCAAGAAACACTCGTTACCGTTTTCCAAGTCGGCCGCGCCGATCAAGACGCATCTGATCGAGAGCCACAAGGTCACCAAGCCTTCGTTGCTGTCCACCGCTTCCCTTTCGAACGCCATTGCCCGATGCAAGGAGGAAGTGGCGACGATCGTCGCCGAATGCCGCGCCAACAACCGCGTGTTTCGCGACATTGACTTTGACTTGTCCAACAACGAAGACGACTGCCTCGAGTCGCTCGTCGAGTCGTGGGACGACGCACCGGCCCCCGGGGGTGCCCTTCGCGTGCGCCAGATCTTCAAGGACCCGACTTTCTGCGACGAAGGGTTCGATGCCGCCGACATCAACCAAGGCACGACGGGCAACTGCTGGTTCCTCGCGGCTCTCGCGTCCGTGTGCGGCGTGCCGCGCATCATCGAAAACATCTGCGTGGCACGGGACGAAAAGGTTGGCGTGTACGGATTCATCTTCTTCAAGGACGGCGACTGGGAGCATGTGATCGTGGACGACCAGTTGTTTGTGACCACGACGGATTTTGACCATGCGTTTGAAACGATGATTATCAGGGACAAGAAGGCATTCAAGGACGTGCTGCGGTCCGACTCGCAAGCGCTGTTCTTTGGCAAGTCGAGCTCGGCGCGCGAGACGTGGCTGCCGCTGCTCGAGAAGGCGTACACCAAGCTCCACGGCGACTACAAGTCGGTGGAAGGCGGGTTCACGGGCGAGGGCATCGAAGACCTCACGGGGGGGGTCACCACGTCCATCGAGCTCACCGACATCTTGGACTACGATCGGTTCTGGCGCGACGAATTGAGCCGCACGAACGTCGACACGCTGTTCTCGGCGTCGATTTGCAAGAAGCACTCGGGCATGGAGTCGCGATCTGCGAATGGGTTGGTGCATACCCACGCGTACTCGGTGCTCAAGGCCGTGCAAGTGCAGGGCGTCAAGTTGTTGCTGGTGCGCAACCCGTGGGGGCAGCACGAATGGAATGGGCGATGGTCGGACGGGTCCAAGGAGTGGACGCCCGAGTGGATGGCCGCGCTGGACCACAAGTTTGGCGACGACGGGTCGTTCTGGATGCAGTTTGAGGACTTTGTGGACGAGTTCACGACCATCGAGCGCACGCGGCTTTTCGATGACAAGTGGTTTGTCAACCAAGAGTGGACAGAGTACCATTCGAGCTGGCCGGCCGCGTGGAGCCACGGGCTGTTCCAGTTCGACTTGACCCACGACGGCCCCGCGAACGTTGTGCTGACCAAGGCAGACGAGCGGTACTTCCAGGGGCTCCAAGGCCCGTTCCACTATGGCCTCCGCATGGCCATCTACCGAAGCGCGGAAGAGGAGGGGGGTCGTCGGGAGTTTGTGGGGCACTTTGTCCAGCGCGCGTTTGGCCGCAGCATTAGCCTCGAGTTTGCGTCGTTGAAGGCGGGCCATTACGACGTGGACGTGATGGTCGTGCGCACCCCCAACGGCGTCGATCCCGCCCTCGCAGTTGTCAGCTCCACCGGCGCCACCAACCCCGACAAACTGCTCCACATTTGCCGCCAGTTCAACGCTAGCCGCGCCAAGGCTGTCAACGTGGACCCGACGTTTGACATTTTGGACTTTGCCCGCGAAACGCAGCTGACGTCGTACGAGTCGGGGGTCGTGGCCAAGCAGAAGGCGGTCAGCCGCCAACTGGCCCGCCAACAAGTGCACGAAGTAGAGGAAGTCGTCGAGGAGGAGCAGGCGCCAGAAGATGAACCTACTGCCGAGGACGAAGAGGAGGTGGAAGAAGCAGTAGAGGAAGAGGTCGTAGAGGATGCCGAAGACAAGTTGACGGGCGCCGTGGTCATCGGGGTTCGCATCTACACCAAGGATGCGAATGCTGTGGTCGGCGTCGTGGTGCAAACCGAAGACTAGATGGGGCTAATAATGGCATGGGTTATTGTGGTACATTGGTGAAAATATCGTTGTTGAAGCGATCGATACAGTAGGACATTGAATGAAATGCAAAATGGTGTTGAAAATCTATGCAGGAAGGACGAGCTAATTGAGCGAGTGCAAAATCTTTGACGCCGCGGGTGGGTCCCTTTGTACTTCTTATTGTGTCCACACAGCTGCGGACCAAACACACGAACAATCACTTCTAGCGACAGGCGTAGCTGGTGCTCTGATCGGCAGGCGGACGGGGGACTTGAAGCTTTCTGGTAAGTGTGCTTCATTCGGCCCATCACATACCTCCAACGGCGAAACGGACGGTGGTGCGTTAAGCGACTGCCCAATAATCACAACCACTATCCCCTGTCTAAACTCACACTGGGGAACTCAAAGTCCTTCGGTACTGTAGCTTGTGGACTCGCCCCCAGAGGTGGCCCATACATTATTGCCAGTCGACCGATATTGCCCTTTGCGTGGCGGTACACTATGAACATCCTTTGTCATTGTTGGAATGTGATCGTTCCATTGTCTTTGGTGGATGGGCCACAATTCCACTGTTGGATATCGCTGTCGTACATATTAGTGTCCATCGCCATTATCCAGGACATCATCATCAGCACCATCGGGGGTATCGGCATGGCTCCTCTATATGCGCAAGATGTAGACCCGTCTCACATCGATTCAACTTCATCGTGTACGGAGCATCGGATTTCGTCGCGTACGGCATGGATTGCCTTTTTACGGAGTTGTCATCGTTGTGGGCATTGATCGTACTGTAGCCACTTAGACGTGGCTTCGCATATGCATCGCGTCGATTCCGATTGTGCCCATGTTCGCTGGCGCAGCATATTATTTTGACCATGATGCTCTTGGCAAATGGGGCGTCGAGGTTCCCCGTGGGCCGTCGTCATCTCAAATATCACGTGCATATAGGACAATAATAACGAGTTGTGACCGTATCTGGACATGGAGTTAACACAATTCGCAGCAAAAACACCCAATTTTGGCGCTAAAATCGAGATAGCTACGGCATTTAACGGGTCAACGCTTCGCGACAACAGTGTGCCTTCAGAGGCACCGAACGATCAAATCAATATAAATGCATCTAATGGCCCAGGAGTCGCCCGAAAGCGCCAAAATGTTTTTGAGTCAAGGGACGACGCTCCAGTCCCTGGGGGGCTTGGCTTAGTGTGCGCCAGAATTCAAGGACAAGAAGGCGTTCAAGGACGTGCTCCTGTCGGGCTCGCAAGCTTTGTTCTTTGGCAAGTCGAGCTCAAGAAGGCGCACACCAAGCTCCATGGTGACTACAAGTCGGTGGAGGTGGTATATTTCGGTTCACAGACGAGGGCATCAAGGACCTGACTGACCACTTTGATCTAAATCACCAGCATCTTGCGACTACGACCGATTCTGGCCTTACGAATTGAGCCACAAGAACATGGACACGCTGTTCCCGGCGCCGATTCCCAAGAAACACTCGGGCATGGAGTTGCGATGCACCAACGCGTACGAATACTCGGTTCTTAGAGTTAAGGCAGTGGAAGCGCAGTGCGTCAGGTTCCACTTGATCCGAATCCAGTAGGGACTGCTCTAGTGGAGTGGCCGGTGGTCGGACGAGTCCAAGAAGCGGGGGCGCGAATGGATGGCGGCGCTGCACCACAAGTTTGGCGACGACGGATCGTGCACGAGGACATATAATGGACGTTGACCTTCACGCTGATTTGGTGCGGCTGGACGAGGTCGCTTCGAAAGTGGCGATGATGCGAGCGTCGGCCGAGAAGGTGCTCGAGGACATATGCTCGCCGACGACTGGCTTTCTTGCGGAAGTGTCGAGCTCCATCAAGCACGTGGATGCGGCTTGGCAGTCTGCGCGAAATCACATCCCAGACAACGCCCGCACCGCCATTGTCAGCGACTTTGTGAAATTTCTCACGGATTCATTGGACGTCCGCAACACCGCAGGGCTGTCGCAGTTGGTCCAAGCGTTTGTCGACCATGACACTGCGACGGTGGACGCGTTCATCGCCAACTCGATCAACGTCGTCGTGTTTGCCAAAGCCGCCGCCGCGGTGGTGGTAAAGCACGAAGACACTACCGTAGTCCCCTCCACTCCGGACGGCCGATCGATCCGACTCGCAGAGAATGTTGCTCTTGTGACAAAAAGACCGGAACCAGCTGTGAAGCGACCCCGCGCGTCGTTGGAGGCCGAGCGTACCATTGCGGACGAAATTGAACCGAAACGAGGCCACCTGACGCTCTTGGAATCAAACAACAACGACATCCGTCCACTACTCCCCGCTGAGCCTGCCACGTCATTTGTTCCTTCGTCCTCCATCCGTAGCAAGATAGCAAGATACACGATGTGGAATTGTTCGCGTCTGCGTTGGACCGGTCGCTGGGCAAAGCCTTCGCAAACAACAAATGGCTGCGGGTGGTGGCGCGAGAGCCGTGGACCGACTGGTCCAATGCATTCGTGCCGTTTCTACCGGGCCACAGCCCGGGCCAAGTGGCCTTGAACGGCGAATTGCAAGCGTTTTTTATCGTGCATGGTCGAGCAATGTGGGAGCGGTACTTCTACCTCGGAACATCGTTGGATCCTCGCAACACAATGCCATCAAAGCGCTTCCGTCGACTCCGCGCATCCTTCGGTGAACTCGTGCAGAGTCTGTACGCGCTGGAAGGTGTCGACGTGTTCTTGTTCCTGGAAGCGTACCGTTCTGGCCATCGATCGTGCAGCACCCGATCCCGTTGGACACGTCGTTTCCTAGTCGCAGTCGCGCTCTGCTGTCGTAATTTCAGGACCAATGCACGAAGCGATGGCCATCGTATCAGGGGTACTGGGCGCCCCCCGTGGAAGCCACCACGTCACTCTCGCACGAGTACGGGTTTGAAAAGTTCGAACCCATGGCGTGTCTCGACTGGATGGGCAAGACCTCGCTGCTACAGGACAAATGGATCAGTCCAAATTTCGTCGCCAAGCTCTTCGCGGAAATGGAGGCGAAGCGACCGACGTTTGACGCCGCCCAGAGCCCGTACGTATCCGTGATGCATCCAGCGAAGGCGCTGCCAACGTTCCAAAAGGAGATGTCGTTTTCGTTGTGCTATTGTAGCAACATGCGACGTGTGCACAAAGCCAAACATGCCGACCCGACGGCTGCTACTGCTGCTGCTGCTTTGGACGGAGCCGTGCGGCAGTTTGAACGCGCCCGAGACGATGCGGTGAAAGCCATCGACACGTTGTCGTCGTCGGTGGCCAACGTGGCAGAGGTCGCCACCTCCACCGTTTCCCCACCAGACAGAGCAACCTTGACCGCGCAAACGGTCGACGACTTCGTCAAGTATCTCGTGAAGAGGTTCGACGTGAGCAACCTCGAGGGGCTGACTTCCCTCGCGAAAGCGTTCGTGTTCCACCCTAGCGAGAAGTCGCCCCAAGTCGATGCGTTTGTGGCAAATGGACTCGACGTGGTGCTGCATGCGAGGCGATGTGCGGCCCAAGGTGTGCCCGGGACCCTCGTGGTGCTTCCAGCGATGGCGGACGAGGCCCTGGAAGGCCTCACGGATGGCCAAATCGAATTCGTGCAGTTGAAAGTGGCGCAGGTGAAGCGAGTCCGACGTGCTGTTGTGGAGGGAAACCTAAACCCGTAGGGGCGGGCGGCAGTGTGCCCGTTAAGCCCAACCGTAAGATTCCCAAGGTGGCGAAGGTGCCACGACCGAGTCAAGTGCTCGCGTGACCTCACCACGTGGTAGTCGCACGATGAATTGGCAGTCTGATGTCGTCTGATGTCCCCATTGACTGCCATTGCAATGTTATCGCCGAATATAGAACGAGCCCAATCATCCTAGCGTAAGAATATTTCATTCAGGCGTGCCACCACTCAGAGCGTTACGCGCCGACTACCCCATGGCTATGCCATGCTGACAAAACAGTCTACCAACTTGGTTGGCTTGATTGTTAAATCAATGGCGAAAAAACAGTGCGTTAACTGTAAGGGCTGTACAGTAGTCTAACTTGCTGTAACAGTTATCACAATTCGAACAACCTGTCAGCTCAAACCGCCTGGGACGTGATCCATCCGGAAAATCCAATCGGTTACGTGTGTTTTCAAACTAGCCAATCAGACAGCAGGTCCTAAATTCTCTTGAATATGTCCATTTCATTTCCAAATCGACGTTTGAAGTGAGAGATGCTTGCAAATGAGAGGACGACGAAACCACGCATCGACTTCGGTGGCAGTATCAGACATCCATCAACGCGATCCACGACACAGCACACAGACTTGGTACCAGCAGAATCGCAAAATGCACTGCGACGAAGACATCTCATC